GCCAGAGGGGCTAAAGAGATGTGTGAGGGACCGCAAAGCTCTGATAGCAACGGTGAAGATCAGCACGTTCAACGTGCTGCAGTGCAACACTTCCCGGGCCGTTGGCACGGCTGCCCCGTGTGGTCCAGCTGCCGTGCAGTGCACAAGCAGCTGTTCTCAACAGGCCACGCTTGCTCACAGCAAGGATGGGGGGAATTTGCAGCGAAACAGGCCCGAAACAGTAAAAGGCTGAGAAGACAAACAAGCGTAAGCCACCCAGTGCTAGCTGAGACATTGTACTAGAATTTCAGTGGCAAAACTCGTACCAAGAGAACTCAAAATTAGAGCAAAAAGAGTGAGTTGTCAGCACGTAGCAACAAGGCTCAGGAAAGAGGGAATGGACAAGCTGAGCTAAAAGGCTTAGGCTATCTCGAACTTAATGAGGGCCCGTGATTCACTTGGATATCTGAAACTGAAGCAGGGAATGCCTTCAATCAGTGAGAGTGCACAACAGGACTCAACAGTTAAACTTTGTTTAGTTTTTTTTTTAAACTAGACTGTCTACATTGTTGTTAACTGACACTACTCAAAAGGCACAGCACATTGCAATTCCAGCTGCAGAGCAAGCAGAGAAACAGGCAATGCAGGCGAGAGAGAGAAAGTAAGGTTTAAAAATACATTTTAAAAGAACATTTTGGGAGGACTTTTTTTTGCCTTGGCCATGGCACATGGTCACACAAACAGTGGGATCTACACGACAGATTGGTTTTTCGCTGCTGGCTGTCCCAGCTCACCCTCCCCTGCACCAGCTCCGGTGTTTTTGTGACTCTGGGCTGAACTGCTTCTGTGTTAAGTCAGCAGAAAACTAAGCCAACAAAAAGGGCAATAGGTTCTGCCGGGATGTCATGCAAAAACAGTTGAGCACAGGCTGAGAAAGGAGACAGGCTTAGCTACTCTGGCAATGCAGGCTCAGTCTGATTAGCTAGTGCATCCACAGTAGCTTTACTGGCACTTTAAAGCTCCAAATGAGGCTATAATATTATAAATATTTATTTCAGCAAAAACACCACCTTATGTGGCATTATCTCATCTTCCCCCTGTCGCACATATAGCCGTTTGCCCAGCCACTGTCTGTGAGGGGAAGGAAGGGGATTTTTTTATTGTAGTTGCTTTCAATCCAGACCAACTCTCCAGTTTAGTTTATCATGTGGCTCTATAAACAGGTGTGCTGGCAAGTGAGGGGTTGCACAGGACTGGAAACAAGCAGCTGGAGGGACGAGGCTGCTTAAGCCAGGACAGAAAATAAAAAATACCTATATTTGTGAAACTGTGGTGCAAGTTCAGGCCATGCTATTCTCCTTAGTACTGTCTTAGCACTTAGCAGGAGGTTCTGCTCTACAATAACTATGGCTTAAGTAAAAAATGAAATAGTAAATATATAAAAATAATAAATATATAAATATTATATATTTTATATATTTCATCATCCCATCTCACAGTGAATGAGCTAGCATATGTATGTTAAGATATTTATTCTGCTATACAGGAAATTAATTTAATTGCAGACCCTGTCACAGATTTCTTACGTTCCTGCTTTGGATGCAGCTGCACAAGGCTGAGAGCCAACCTCATAGCTCCTGGTCCCTAAAATGCCTCTTCCGGCCACGCAGTTCTGCCACTTACCTTATGCTATTTCCAACACCTCTTGGACTCTTTCATGAGCTTGTGCAACTAACCTACATGGCAAAACATGAACTGCAATCGCTCATACAAGAATCTAATGAGCGCCAGATCCAATGTGAGGAAAGGATGAACTGCACGAGAACAGTGGCAAAAGAGAAACGTGGAGCAGTGAAAATTTTTACTTTTAGCAAGAGTGAGTAACTAAACTTGCCCAGCTAGTTACAGAACTGCAGCATAGCTGTCCTGCATTCCTACTGTCTGAATTAACTACAGGATCAGCTTTCCCTACCAAGTTTCAACGGCAGTGCGGGGTTCAGGCACACACCACACTGAGCAGAACGCAGCGGTTTCTTGCTAACTCCTTTGCTGCGTAGCTTCACAAGGCATTGGGCTCTCTGCCTGCACGGACTTGACCTCAATGTGGACTGGTGAACGCTTTGTAGCTGTCATTTTAGACTTCAGTTGTGTAGGGTAGGATAGGACAGTGTTTAATAAACCAGCAAGTGCTACATGTTTTCTCTGCCCATGTGCTCTGAGTAGCTACCAGAAACAATGTATTTTTTAAAAACATAAAGCTCACGATAATTACCACCATTAGAACAACCATTTACACTTGTGACTACCTGCAAAGTTTATTTAAGTAGGCCACTCTAGGAACTATTGCTTTTAATAATCTAACAAGGATCTAAAAATCATGCTGAAGTTCTTTGCTCAGCAGAGCAAAGGCAGTCTCATTTTGAAGCCAGTTTCACAGGGATTTGTGTTCTGTAGAATAAAATCTGAACAAGAGCCTTTAGCTGGCAGCACAAAAGGTTTTCCTCTATTGCAGCTACACTGCTTTGTCTCCCAATGGAGAAACTGGGGCCAAAGACAAACAAAGCAAAAAAGAGTGTTAAAGACAAACAGGTGCATAAGACCAGAAAAAAAAGCATGAAATGCAAGGATATGCTCTCAGTGCCTGAGGGAAACACTGAATGGAGGGGAATCCAAACCCAAAGCGATACTTTTTGGGCTCCAAAACCTGGATCAAGACTCAAGACTGCCGCCAACCTACTTCCATTCAGATGATACAAAACAGACTTCCCACTTGAAAAGATTGCTCACTGCAGAAAAAAAGTCACTTCATCCAGCCTATGAAAAATGTTAGCTACCCTAAATGCTTTTGCTCTTCATTCCACAAACCCATGTAACAACAAATATGGCTTAAGGAAATACAGATTCTATTATCATTAAATAAATGATTCAGAATGCAAAATGTTCTTACTTTGAATGGATGTTTGATTATTAAAGGGAAATGAACAGACCCTTTAGCTGTACAACAGTAACACTGGAGGAAACAACCCTTTTCCTTGACATGATCATGCATTTTAAAAAGGAAACACAAACACGCAACACATGCCCAGACTACCTTGAAAACCTCATGTTTCACCACCTTAACTGCAATGCTTTATTTTCTTACACAGGTCAGCATTTCCCTAGTTACTCCTACCTAAACATAAGAAGTGAGAGCAGAACACTGAATCAAACTTTTCCCAAGAATGCTCTTGCTAACAAAATATTACATGCAAATGTCCAACAATCTTTGCAAATTATATGGAAACAGAAGGGCAGAGGTTAGCAAAACTGACTCTAGGAACTAATGCTGTTAATAATACCCTAAACAAAGATCTAAAGATCATTGTGTGCACTTTGCTGCGGAAACAGAAGGGCAGAGGTTAGCAAAACTGACTCTAGGAACTAATGCTGTTAATAATACCCTAAACAAAGATCTAAAGATCATTGTGTGCACTTTGCTGCTCCACTTAAAAAAAAAAAAAAAAAAAAAAAAAAAAAAAAGGAGGGGAATTTTTCTTATAAAAAAAAAAAAAAAAAAAAAAAATGGATGGAGAACATTTCTTCTAGGCACAGAATACTTAGGGAGATCAGAAACTTACTTCTACAAATATGAACAAGCAAAAATAAGAAAATAGAAAATCAATAAATATTCTTTAAAAAGAAGAGAGCCCTCAAGATAATGGAATACACATAAAGAGAATTTCTACCTGTTCAACCTTCTTGTTGTTATTCAGAGAATACCAGTGATGTATTTCTTTAGGGTTTTATTTTCAAAGTCAGTATGATCTACAACAGGTTTTAATCCTTTATTTTCTATTGGTATTAATTTTTGTTACTTTTTAAGATTTCTGTAAGAAGATATCCCTCTATCTGCTTGTTCACTAGTCAACAACTTTGTATAAGAAACTTTTCTATTCTCTATCTGTAAATATATAGCTTGATTCATATCATAACAAAAAGTATATACATTCTGTAGCAATGCAAACAACTTCCCCATCCTTTCTATGATTACCAGTGAATTTAAATAGAAACAGTACTTTCAAGTAATTTGGTTCTCTTTATATAATTTACAGCAATATGTAGGTATGACATAAGCATATACGTATGTGTTTCTCTGCTAGTTTATGGGTGCTAGCTTAAGAAACCTCATGTTTCACATTACTGCACTTCTTCAAAAGCATTGTTCCACAGGTACTCAAAGTTCAACTTTAGGATTAACGTAAGCCAACCTGGGTGTTCAGGACACAGAAGAGAATGGCTGCAGCAGTGCAAAGGCGTTACTACTACAAAGTAGCAACACCCCTTTCATTTTCTTAATTCTAAAGTTAAACACACACAACAATTTTTATAAAAACTAGTTCACCGTTCAGCCACAAGTTTATTTTGCCTGCGACCGTAACAGTAAGTTCTATGTGTCTATCATTGCTTGTGCAGGCTGAATTCTTAATATAAAAAGAGTCCACCCACCCACATACTTTCATGGGAACATGAGGGCCTCATGGTGAGGTTTTACAATGCAGCTGGACCAACCTAATGGCTCACTGCCAACAACATAAGGCAGTCTTACTCTTTCTTCTACCACCTTCCCTCTGCCGTTCCTCTGCACTGGCTCAGGGACGTCTGACCCCTGATTTGGCTGAGTTTGATGAACTGGCAGAGAAATAATTCAGCAGGAAAAGGGAACGGTTTCTGTCCATTTATCAAGAGAGGTCAGATGAATACTAATACAAGGAACTACAGGACACTTCCTTCAATGCAATCCAGTCATTTAACTGGTTCAGTCACCTTGTGGAATCTCAAACAAACGGGAACACTTGAGACAAAGGGCAGGGTGAAAGAAATGCTTTGGGTTTTTTTACACGTTCACTTTAAGATTATTTATTATTATTATTAGCATAAAATGAAGTAGCATTCTTACCTTTCACTGCTATTTTATCCGTTCACTTACATCACCGTTTGCCAACTTAACCAACAAACCATAATACAATAAACAAAATACTTACCTACAAATCCTTTCTCTCCGACTAATTTAAGGGCAATTTTATCTGCCAAAACAGAAGAATTTCCATGTGCAATGTTAGCAAAAGGTCCAGCGTGAACAAATACTGGTGTACCCTGAATGAGAAAAAAAAAAAAAATCATTAATTTAATGGAAGGTAAGAACACAAGCTCAATACTCTTCCAGACTAATCAAGATGATATATAAATCAAAAGCACATATAAAGAATAAGCACTGTTAGATAATTTGGGGGGGTTAGGTACATCTCAGGTGCTTGAGAGCCCATTCGCTGACAGGCCTAGATGTCAGAACCTGCTTCATTCACAGAAAGGTAATGGACAATAGTGCAACCTGTAGATAACTTGCACAACTTCTCACCCAACCCTGTACTAATGTTTCATATTTCCACTGCCCTAATGCTGTGGCATGCTATTCTGGCACATGTACTACAATCAGCACTAAGTGCATCGCTGCAGACGGTACACAAATAGAGCCCAACTCCTGCCCTACTCCATCCCTTACTGCTCCTGTTTTCCTCATTGACTGTAATTGCCATTCCTGTGCCGGCAAAGCAGCTAGTGGAAGCGATGAGGGACCAGAGTCAATGGTTAAGGAGCTGGAGAGGGAGAAGGGAAGGGACATGGCTAGGGTGCAGTGGGGATGCTGACATACAATGGAAAAAGCATCCACCGCTGCTGGCCGAGCGCCTGGCAGCCCCGGGTGCAGAGACGGATTCCTCTATGCTAGACACCATACAAATACACAAGGAAAGTAGACTCTGTAGTAGGGAGCAATCTAAACCAACAAAAGGATAGGCAAGGAGTTAACAAAGGAATGGCATAGGGAAATTTGTCAGATAGCAAGCAAATCTCAGCTTCCCTGTTACTTTTTTTGGCAGGCATCACAAGGAAAGGAGAAATTAGCATCTGCAGAAAGGGATTAGGTGAGATATATTAACTGCTATCTTTTCTCCAGGACAGAATACACAGTCAGATGGAAGGATATCACTTCAGCTGTCTTACTATAAAATACTTAAGCAAACAAATCCCCATTGTTGTGTTAACGCTTTTAAAAAACCCCAGCTGGTTAAAGAAAAGGTAAGCAGACAACTTCAGATTATCTCCATCAATGTTCTTCACACATGCTGTATTAGGAGCTACTGCCAACCCACAAAATTTCAGGCAACCTACTGGGCAATCTTCCTCAATTTTTGACCAGAAACGCCAATTGAGGAGGACAGCGTTCCATGGATCAGCTGCAGGCCACATCCAACAGCCCCATGAACCACAACTTGGAAACTATTAACCATATAAGAAAAGCTGGTTGCTCCCCCCTCCCCGCAGTGTCTTAAGAAAACAACCTACATAGACAAAAATTTTCATGTTTTCCATAAAACACCAGAACAATTGGATTACAGCAGTGAAATACTTGCTACTATAGAAAACAGATTTTCCTGTTTCAGCAACACTGAATACAAATCATATAAAATATATCAACAACAAGCATCTGTTCTTATTGCTTCCTCTAGAAGTAATTATACATAATTAATTGTTTTGTTCAGAGCAGAGACAAGTAACTTTTTATCCACTGGCACACCAAACTTCAGGTTTGTTCTAATAAAACGGGATTTTTTTTATTTTTTTTTTAAATCAAGAGTGGAAAAGGAGAATATGCATACATACGGGCAGGGGATATTCTCCAGAAACTAGACAATTAAGCTACAATCCAAAGACAACTCTGCCTCATACATGTTAGAGAAGGAACAGTGGAACTGGAGCAGAAAAAGTAAATAAACCAGGTATCATGCCCTGTAACAGAAGGAATGATGCAGATTATTATCTTCATAACACACTGACTTCACAGTGTTTACTTAGGATTTTTTTTCTTGTTTTCTATCTGCTAATGACCACATACTGCAATATCAATTGGGCTTTACATATTTATGCAAAAAATTTAACTTGAACTATATATACACCTCCAAAGCTTCTTAGAATATTTAGGCATCAATCTAATAGGAGGTGCTGTGCAAACAAAAAAAAAAAAAAAGATGAGCCTTATCCCAAAGAGCTTATAACTTATACAAAATAAAATACAAACCACTTCCACCAACCTAAGTTTAAGTTTTACTTCCTTAAGTTTTACTTTTACTTTAACCCAGTATTTACCCTTTTGGCATTCCAATAAATAAGACTGCAGTTTTCAGCTACCAGATTGAAATCCACGGGATTTATTCTGATTTGTATTTCATTACTCACTAAGTTTAATTTTACTCTTCCAAGCCCTTAATTTCTTGTGGCAAGCAATTACAGGGCTGCTCTCGTTAGAGCCCAGCACACACATGGGCAGATGCGATGTATCAAAGCACAAACACAGATGATGATGGCAGCCCAACCCATACTGTGGCAGCTATGCAGAGAGGGGGCCAGAAGGGTCTCCCACAATATTCCCTGTGCAATTGTGCTTCCAAGAGTTCATCCACACAACACGGATGGGAAGGAAAATGGATTGTGGGGTCAACATGCAGAATATCGGTAGCCAAGAGTCCCCCTGCCACTAACTTGAAATCCAAACACACCACTAAACCACTGGCATGGACAGATGCTCCCCTGGAGCTCTGAAATCCATCAGAAGATAAGGAGGGGTTATTTGAATGGTCTTTTTACAAGAGCAATCCTGGAAGAAAAATACAGTCTAGGTACTGAAGGGAGCGAACACCAGCAGAACCTCAGGAGCCTCAGGCACACCCTGGAACAGGGACAACAATGTCTTCTGAGGCCAGCTTCAGTAACTCTGTGTCAGCCCATCCATCCCACTCTGCAGAGTGCCACTTATTTTCGTTATACTCTTAATAAACTATATGGAGAAACAAACAGTGGCACAGAGATGCATTCTGCTGACTGTTTTCAGTACAGGAAATTTTATTATCCAAGTTTTAGTAAAAGAAAATAAACCCAGAATGTCAATAAATATCTGAAGTTATCTGGCCGCTAGATGGATGTTCATAATACTTATTACCATCCTCCCCTCATCTTTACTGTGAGTGGCACTTTAAATGTAACATGAGCAGACCATCCCAGAGGAGCCAGCCTGCAGCTACAAAGAGTTGTCCCATAGAGCAGCTGCTCTGTTATGCATGGTATAAATAAATGCTAAACATTAAGGGATCAGTTCACGAGGGAACAAATCTGTCATGACAAACATGGATAAACACTATGAAATCATTATGCACATTTCAAACAAAGTCATCTCAATTCTACAGCACTGGATATAAGTTCTACAGTTATTGTAGGTGGACTGCCCCACGTTTCCCATTTTGAGATTTTACTGTCATTCCTGCCTATGAAACACTGTCAATCACTAACACCATGAGGCAGCATTTCTGGTGACAGAGCAGCAGGGTTGCAATGGAAATCAACCCACCAAGAAACCACTTTAAAAACCAGCAAATTAAAATACACACATCAATTCACATATGAAAAACACACTGACACAAGTTGCCAGTTCAGTTCCACACAGGACTGACATTCGGTCATTTTTGATTTATGAACTTCTAAACCTCTTCTCCAGTGCACGCCTACATCCATATAAAGCTCCTACAAATCTACCGAGTAGGTCGTTCTCCCCTTTCATAGGCCCTTATAGCAACTCCTCAGACCTCCACAGCTTAACACAATATCCATCTACAGGCTTTTTGCCAGATCACAGAGAAGTGCAGCTATCTCTGCAATGGCTACTTTCAGCTGCTGCTAACCACGGACACTATCAATTACAAATTATGCCACATTAACTGTTAGTATCAGCTGAAAGTCACCCAGAAGGTCTCCTGCTCCACCTCCTCAGGCGGTCTTTTTGCCATTCCCCAATACCAAAGTGATGTGGAAGACCTGCTTTGGTGAACAGTTTCATTCCTACTTGCAGGACAGGTCCACAGCATAGTCTGAGCTGCATTTGTGTTCTGTTTAATCATATTAATCTGTTTTTTACATCACCAGTGTGCTGTAGACACTGGATGTCCTTGTCACAGGATCATTTCTGATGTTACTGTTGTCAAGCCGTGGTGCTGTTGCTAAAGGTCTTTACACTTGTATTGAGAACTTGTTCTCCCTGAAGGGATTAGGATTATGTTGCCCAATTACTATTGGTAGCCTCTTTGGAAACTTAAGAGGTTCCTCTTCTTTTGGATGCTACTTATTAGGATTATTTCAAGTGTAATTTAGGCTTCAATTCTCCTCATTTCTGGTTTGCAAGAAGAGAGACTTGTAATTCACACTCTCATCAGAAATATGTTGTCCCCTATAGCAGAAGAGACGTTATTACATCCACCACCTCAGGGTACACTAGGATTAGCTTGTCTTGAAATCTATTGTGCTGGAGGGCTCTAAACTCACAGGTGTTCACTGCACTACATTCAAGTGTGCAGGGCAAAATATCTTCCTTGTTCCCTTCCCTCTTATTGGAAAAACTGAAGCTATTAAAATTAGCATCTCTTAAAGCTATTAACATGAATAATTAAAAATAATGAAAGGTATTTATTCACAAAATGGGACATGACACAAGCTTGAGGCTGAAGAACAGCAACAACAGCATGGGCAGTAACAGAGTAGGCCATTGCGTCTCTACACAAGAGCAATGACACAGTCCAAAAGGCACACATCAGCCAAAGCACAGCACTATCTTGGAAAAGATTTAGATAAGCTGGAGATTTCCATTCTTGGATAGGTGACTCATATTAGCCTGCAAGCTAACAGGTATTCAAAGGGTGACAAAAGTTCATCTTTGAGACTCAAATTGCAGGAGTGGAGCATGAAGCAGTCTTCTGAGCTGCTTTAGTTTGCTGTTTTAAAAACAACTTCGTAAGAAGAATTTTTGGGAAAAATATCTTTGGGTACTGCGGTCAGGGTCCTCGTAACAAGCAATAGTGTTTGATGAAAGCTGGCAGATGTTTCAGCCATAGTATAGATTAGACTAGAAAAGAATACCACATAAAAGGCAGGAATTTTATTGCATAGAAATGCGAATATAAAGAAATGCAGTGGGGAAAAAAAAAAGCATGCAAGTCCCAGAACCAAATGCCTATCGATCAAAAGAAACTCTTCTGACATTTATAATTGTCTTTTAGAACACTGTAACAAACCCACATTATTTTCTAACAGGTATGCAAAGTGCAAATAGAGTGACGCAGACTAAACACTCAGAATCAAAGCTACCTTGTCACTGATGCTCAATGCACACAGTATTATCCAAGTGGAGATTTAATACCTAGTTCTGGCCATGACATTCTTGATCCTACGTGACCTGCAGTGTCTACTATTGGATGTTATATTAAATTCTGACACATACACATATATTCTTCATACAGCCACATGAAAGAACAAACCTTCTTTGCAGGAGAAAATAATTAAGGTGACCATAGTAAAGTAACACAGACTTAAATTCTGTTTTTCTAATATTCCCTGAGAGTAGGAAGCTGTGCCCATCCAAACACAAAAGCAAAAAGGAAGTTATCACTTTGGCATGCTATAGAAAATGAGACATTTTTACCAGCTGGGGACTGCACTGGTATCTTTCTACATTCTTCAACTTTTCACCATACCAGGAACTGTTGTGAAATATTCCAGCTATGTAATTTCGATGGTCAAACTTTCAATAATATACATTAATTTTTCTCCAAATGCATTTGTTTTCAAAATGGCTTCATTATATCCCCATTTTTCTTCCTCCCTCTCCCCATGAATATTGCTCATCATTCAGCTTACTATTGAAAAGGCAATACTAGACTGCCCAGTCACAAAGTTAGGTTGCACTAGTTCTCCGTTCTTTGAGCTGTCGGAAGAAAGCTCACTAGGGTAAGCGTAAAACATTCCTCTCATAGGCCAGCAAAGCTTCATTTAGTCCCTGAAGGCACTATGGCAAGATAGGGTGGCTGGGAACTGTCTTTTGAAAAAGCCTAAACAGGCAAAAGGACCCTCCTGTGTTTCTGAAAGGCACAAACGATAATACAGAATAGAATGGCCTCAGCGAAGCATCTACTTTCCACTCAAAATGCTGGGCTGTGGGAATCATCATGGGAACATAAATATAAAGGAAACACATAAAAAGGAAAATTTCCTAGAAGAGCAAGATGGGAAACAGAAGGAAGTCTATTACTTGGAAGCCCAACCTGCCTTCTACTGTGCTCAAAAGCAGTTCAACAGTGCACTGCAGCTTGTTTGCAACACTAGGCAAAATTATGACTAAAGCCAGAGTCTCGAAGAAGGAAAAAAAGCACCCAAAAGGTATCAATGCAGATAGAGTTGATTAGTTAATATACACAAATGAACATTTGCTAAATGCCTTTATGGATTTGACCCTGGCTTGAACCTTGAAAGTTAAGCGCGGTCACTGGAGAGAAGCACGACAAGCACAATATGGAATTTGAAAGTCAGAGAAGGGCCGGCATCATAAGCCATACTCACCTCTAATGTCTGCATTAGTGTGGGCTTAATTGCATCTTTCATTAAAACTGCCAAAGCACCTGTTACTCCCTAAAAAACAAAAAAGTCCACATTTTAAGGAAATCAATTCTAAGGTGCAACATTTCTGAGTTACACTTAAGCTTACAGTTAAAAAAGGGAAAAAACCTTACACTTCAAAGGAGAAAAAGAAAGTGTGCTCATAAACCGTAATGGATAAGCAGTGTTACAGTGTTGCATAAAGAATTTATTTAGATGTTACCTCAAGACTTCTAACATACTGTATTTACAGAGTGTGCCAGAAATAGTAACAATTTTGCTCTGAATACACTTAAAAGGCAGTAGGTAAGTATTCTTCTTATTTCATGGAAAGACCAAAACCAGAGTTATTAAGTGATCAGCATGAGGATGTTCATGGGAACAAAAGACGAAGCGGAAGCAAAGGCCACTGAGACCTGAGAAAGCAAGAAGGCAATAACTTGCTAAAACTGCCTAAAGAAATCACAGATATATTTCTTTCATGACAGAATCAATAGCATGAATCAATAGACAGCAACAACCAGAAAGGGTATTTTTCAAGACTTGTACAAATATATATGTAATAGGCACAGGATGAAAGCAGACACGGAGTTGACTAGGAGCAGGTAAAGAACGTATCACGAGACTAAAAGTTAGAGGTGCCTTACTGTGATGATGAGAGGACAAAAGGAGCCATGTGAATTGCTGCATTTCAGTTGTAAAAAAATCTTACTCCTCCCTAAAAGTTTTGCTAGATATTAAGTATAAATTTCACACTGACCGAATTCAAAATTAGAGAAAGTCATGACATCCCTCTACACTAAAATCCAATGCCCATTTTAGAAGAAACTGGCTATAGAGTATGCACAGCACTATCAAACTATATGCAGAGTGCTATCTAGAAACCACAAGCATGTATTTCAATTTGTTCCTAAATTACTTTGATTTTGAGAAGAAAATGTGTTTTGTTTTGAAAGAATTAGATCATGGATAGAAAAAATGCAATAGCGTTATAAGCAGTGGCTCATTTGATTGTTTGAACAATCAAACTCTGTGTGAAAATCAGAATGACAGACATGAGAGACATAAAAGTACGTGGTCATTACGTAAGTACAGTATTTTATACAAATTCAAGTTTCCCCTTTCTGACATCACATCTGAATATAGACTTCAGAGGACAATGAAGCAGAATATTTGGCCTCAGATAAAAATGGACTGAAACCAAAATAGTAAAACTGGTTTCTACTAAAGCATAGCAAGTGTTTCCTTGGGGGAGAGTGAAGGAAAGAAGAGAGGAGGGAAAGATGTTTCTTCGCTCTTTGCATTTTGTAAACCTCCACTATCTACAAGCCCCAACAGAGCCACAAAGAGGTAATAAGAGAAACTAGTAGCAAAACAATATAGTTTTCCCTCTTCTGAATTAATAAAGAATAAATTTCTGTTTCTTAATATGTTAATTTTAGAAGTTAGGCTCAAAACGCAAGGAAACACCAGCGTGCCAGCCCTCTGTCAGAATGGCTGGGGCTCTGTCACTTCCACAGAAGCAGCCTGGTGCTATGTTGTACATATACCCAACTACTCTCATTTGAATCCAAAGCTGACGGCCTAAATAGAAGGAAAAGGAAAATATATTAAAAAAGAGAAATGAAATTATTGTTGGTTTTCACTTCCACAGGCTCCTTTATAGCTACAGATCGTTTTAATTGGTAAGATTATGAACTACTTATTTTAGATGAAGAACATAAAAATGCAGAAAAAATCTCAACAAACAATATTTCATAAAGGTTCATTTAACCAGTACCCTGTAAAATTTTCTGCTTTTAGAATAAAATGTAACTTCAATATTTTATCCATAAATGAGTTTTCTTTTTGGGACCATGTAAAAATGACTGCCATTGCTACTGCCTTTGATTTCTTGTATTCTAGTTATTTGTAAAAGTCTCTCTAAAGTGGGTGTATTTCTTAGGATATTAAATTTTAAATCTGTTGAATATAACAATTTGCTTTATAAAACTGATTTGATTCACTTCCAAATCTGAAGCACTTACAAAATAAAATAGTGAATACCCAGTCCCAGCTCTTACAATTTTAAATGAAATGGAACAAATTTCAATCCTAGCAATTTCTTCATTAAACCCCAGTTTTTAATCCTACTAATTTATCAGAACAAACATATTCTTTTTCCTGATGATCACAGTGCAGAACTTGAATTTAAAAAAAAACAAATTTCAATCCTAGCAATTTCTTCATTAAACCCCAGTTTTTAATCCTACTAATTTATCAGAACAAACATATTCTTTTTCCTGATGATCACAGTGCAGAACTTGAATTCGTTAAAAAAAAAAAATCAGTGTGCAATATACTTATTGAATAGATCTATAAGCCTGTTGTTTTCCTGCTGTTTGATCAATTCAGCAGCCAGCTGGGACAGAGTTTCTCAGACTAGAAGCACAGTTCTTCCCCTTCCACCCCCCGCTGGAGGAAATGATGCTTATCACTAGTTGCTAGCAACACAAAACTATAACAGCTTGTTAAGTTGTTCATCTTCTGTCTGATGGAAAGCAAAACCATGTACACACACTAGTTAGAAGGCAATAGGTAATGGAAGTATCTGAAGGAAAAGGTTGGTTAATTTTACACTTTCTTCCTGCATCCCAGTTTTTCCATCATCATATAGCATAAGCTATTCATCATTATGCTGAAAGAGAAACAGCTGCTGATAATTTTCAGCGCATAAACGCTGAGATAGTTTACAATCTCACCACATAAAAGGCAATTGTAATAGCTATTCAACTTTCTGGAAAGAAAAAAGCCAAATGGAAAACTTTACGTCAGATCTTCCAACTGGTCAACGGCAAGGTTAACTACCTGAACAGCCACGGATCAGCCCTAACGCTCTTCTTGGGAAACCTGCCTAAGGACTGACAAGTGTTAACTCACGCCAACTGTAGCCGTCCCGATTAGGGGTTTGCACTGTCTACTTCGTGCTGGATGAGACCACCAGCTCATTAAAGGAAGCACGCAAACAGCTATTTGCTGACCCAAGCCTTGTTGACTGGAAAGAAAGCTTTGGGGGAGAAATAAAAAACAAAAGAAATTCAGGACACCTTTTTCTCTCCTCCCCCTCCTAGACAATAACGGCTCAAATCCTGTCTCCTTTGCTTTCTGATAGTTTTCTGATAGTTCTTCACCCATCTGATAAAAATAGTGAATATGCATGTTAACTTTTTGGGAAACTTCATCCATATTAGATATGCATTCTGGACACAACTCATTGTATCTGAAGCTGAAAGCAAAGAAAAAAACATGCAAGACTCCAATTAGCACACATCATGTCTATCTGCCTTCCATGGTTCTTTAACAGGTTTGGTGTCAACAGCAGTCTTTAAAAGCTAAACAGCCGATAAAGTTTTCCTCTCTCTCTGACATGACTGTCAGAATAAAGTTTTCATTCCTTCATATCCCCAATGCTCCAAGCAGCTAGCAAACAATTTCCACAGCTCACTCAAAGTCCTGGATCTGATTCTCAAAGCTATTTAAGGAATCAGGTTCCAATCTCCAATTCAGAGAAGGTAGTTAAATTTTTTATAAAAGAATTAGAGGCCTAGACACTTACACACCAATTAAGCGTGTGAGAGCCCAACGTTCATGACTTTTCCACTAACTCACTGTCAGAAGAAAGAAGTAGGACTCCGAATCAAATGTATATGGACACCCAATCTCTCCTGGGTCCCTCCTGGAACTGATCCCAAGTACTTCTGAAAATAATACCCCTTCCATCTATCCACCAGCCGTCAGGGCAGGTATGCTCCCCAGGACAGTAAAGATCATAGAGCACAAAATAAATTACACACATGACACAGAAAAGGCAAACTTAAATGAAAAACCAAAATACTTTCAAAGCAACTTCCAGTGGAGCAGTCTCTGAAGTCTAGCAAGAGTGGAAATGAAAGCCAGCATTAGATGAGAAGGAAGGTGGTTGAGAGTAACTACTGTGAAATGAATAAGGGATACACAGACTGAAAGGTAGAGAAAAACCCTTTTCTTGATAAGAAAAATAATGAAGTACTTGTAACTTCCCGTCATTTGAAACTACAGTCTCTAACAAAATGATAATATTTTTTCTGCAATCAGTTCTGTAAAAAACTAAACCCTAAATTGTAAGCTGAGAAGAACTGCAACCACTTGTGTTTAAAGTGAAGTACGTACACAATGTTTCTCATGAATCAGAGAACAAAATATATTCAGCTGACAGATCATTTACAAAAGTAAATATGAAGCTATTTTTTTTAGTCCTGGAATTATTGAAATCTAACAGCATGGCACAGAAAGTAAGTTGAGAAGAAGTCTTATTTAAAAAAATAGTGACATATTTATTTAATATTTTTTATAGCTGCTGAAATACTGATCTAGGGCATAAATACCCATTTAATTTCACATAAAGATATGGCATGTGCCCATCAAAATTCTACTACACTGTAAAAGCCAAAAAGCAATTCAGTCCTCAAAATACTGTACAATGAGCACCACATTTTGGCAAAGACTTCAGTACGTTCCATTATAGAGGATAGATATTTAATCCATTACTCTTGTGGAAGGAGTCTTCTCAATTCATGGAATATTCGATTTATCTTTTTTCTACTACTCCTAGCCTGCCTCTGCATCTGGTTTATATCTGCCAATGTATATTTTAGGTTTTACTATTCTATTATTATAAATATATTGCATATAAAGTCAAAATTAAGAGCAATTGTGTTTTTGTGAAGTATATTGTGTGTACATCTGGAAACAAATCACAGAGAAGGGTTTAGTGGTTTTGGTTCACATAGATTCCAATGAACTACCAGACTACTGTCAAACATTTAAACTTGCATAAATTCAATCTGGGTAGTATATATTAAACATGAACCCCAGAATTTTTTTTAAGTGACGGGTAGGACTGACCGCCACCCATTATTCAGGTTGTGTGGTAGTTCCCATGATAAAGCTGCCTTTAAAATTTGTTAAAACTATATGCAATTGCAGTTCTTTGGGCTAAAACATTCCATGTCAAGTGGCTATGGTAGATTCAAGCTTTTAAAATTTATTTTGTTTTATGAAAATTTAAGTCAAAATGATTGAACTGTTCTTGGATTAAGAGTATTCGAAAAGCACGTATATTGTTTTCCTACGTTCAGTTGTCTTGGGATCTTTCCTTTCTGAGCTATAAAGCTTTACCCTCCTCTCTGACCCTGACTCGAAAGGATGAAGATTCAGGTGGAGAATGGCTTCACATCAAACCTCTTACCACATCTGAAAGTTTGCTCAAGATATAAACCTTGGCAAAATGAAAATTACTGTTCACAGATACTCATTAGTGAACGCTTAGCCTTGCCCCATCCTGCCCAGAAAGCTTTAGACGCAATGTGCGGTGCGCTTACAGCCTGAGGTGTAACAACTGTATCTACAGTCTGCCCCAGGCTGGACCAGCTCTGGGTCTGGACATCTAGTCCACAAGCAAAGATCTCTTCTCCTGGATCCTACAGGAATCCTTTTGTAACACGTACAAGGAAGAGAGAGAACCTGCGCAGTCCAAACGAAGAGGGGTCAAAAGCTGGGCTTGCAGAAGCATAGTAACAACATAGGCAGCACAAGCAGTAGGGGGAAGAGTAGATACTGCATTTAAAGTCCAGGAACAGTAAGTTTAGTTGCAAGCTGTTCAAACAGACTGACCACCTGTGGGAAGAAACCAGGAACAGAGATGAAATGCCACCCGATAGAACTGAAGTTTATCTTCTTTGTACATATGAATATGACATGGTATGGTCTTTGGTTATACATCTCCTGCTATTGCTTCCAGAGGATTCAACTTTATACAGTACACTTTCACAAGTGCAGTACAGTTATCCATAAGCTCTCTCTCCTTGTACAAAGTAACCGGTATTTAATTTGATAAAGAAGTCTTAGTAAGAAAACCCACTATTCATTTCCTTTTTTGACATTTCTTAAATCCCAACACCACAGCACCTGACTTCTTCACCAATATGAATAAGTCTGCAGAAATGAACAATTGGTCCTGTTTTCAGAAGAGAAACCAGCAAGGATCAAACTCAAAAGTATTCACCAATTTTGGATGCTCAACCTGAGACAACATAAAATAATTTCTCCTGGTTCAAAGTTCTTGATGGTGTTCCACTCTTTCCATAGATTTCAGCTGTTTAGCTCCTGGGTGTCAAGCCAGATTGAGGAATGCACGACTCCTCATGTACTGTAAGAATCAGTTCGTATGGACACAGCATCGCACATAAGCTTTGTGAAAAACACAGGAATAGAATTCAATTCTCCAAAAAGGCACTTTTCTGCCTTAACCATGAAATCACCTTCCTATTCCTCCCATAGTTCTCATCCTCATTTGTAACACATTCCACAACAAAGGAAGTAGGAGTTTCTGCCCTTCACAATCATGATACGCACCCAAGTCCTCCCTGTGCATCGTATGAAGATGAGAACCTGCAGAAGAAAAAGAATGCAGCAGCATAGCTGCAGATGGTCATAATACATATCCTTGACACTGTGATTTTTTTTTTTCTGGGCAGTTCTTCTATTGTATAATATAGAACACTGTTTTAAAGAAGAACTAGAAACATATGTTCAGCACAAGTGACACTATCAAACAATTGAGACGCTAAGCATAGGAAGTTTGTTTAAAAAAAGGCCAAGAAAAACTAATTAGTAACAGACGTTTTGCTGAACGCTACTTTCATTTCAGGGACACAGTGGAAAAATTTTAAAGTTCTTTGTGCGCCGTTCATCATTTCAGCCCCAACATTATATTTCCACAGAGCAACTATAGATGCAACAGACGAATGAAAGCAGTTGCTTTTCCGTAATCAAGCTGATTAGCATTAAGTGGTTGAAGATAGGTTAAATATTTTGCAATATTAATACATTAAAGTACCTTCATACAAAAGTAGCATCAAGATTAAAATCATGTATTTCAAATGTAGTTTTAATTCTGACACTGAATTATTTTAAAGTTTTTGCATATGCACTATAAGGTAACTTATTCCCCACTCCCCTGCATTTGACCAAGACAAAGTTATGCAACTGAAAAGGAAAATCAAAACTTCAACAGCTAGAATATTAAATGCGGTTCTTCATGTCTCTTGCATAATTGGGAGTAGTTGATTTGCTTTGAATTTTAATGATTACTGTACTTCAAAATTTTGGTACCCTTATCTTAATTTCAATCTTAAATCCAGGCAAGCTAGATATTCTGTTTTCATTTCCTTATTAAACTGGAATCCATTAAGACTGTGAAGGTATTCCTGGCTTGTGGATTTGCCATTTTTGTTGACAAGGCAGGATACTGGTTCCTTTGCTCATTCTAAAAATGCAGTGAGTTTGTGCAGATGTCCACATAAAAGGGACAAACAGGAAAACACACACATAGTCTGTGTGATACAGGCAGTCATTGCCAGTAGGGTGGCATGAAAGCACGGCTCCAAGACATATCACAGCTGCTATAAGGATATATTTAGAAGATAAAAAGCATAAAAGCAAAGCATTATCATATTTATCATATTTAGGGTGTGCAGTCAATCTGCAATATATGAACTTCATTTAGCAATTAGGCTTCAGAATTCAAGTAATGTAATGTTAGATTAAACTAGTGCCAATCACAGTGAGCCTACTCCTGGCATACAGCTGGATTGCAAGGGTTAACTGGTAGCTTCTGGCTGCACCAGAACCTGCCATACACAAACATGTGTGAGCTTCCAACCACTGTTTACTGACTCACAGCCTGGCTATAAGGGCTAGAATTTGATATAAAGGAAGAACATATTGACTTCTTTCAGAAGCTGAAGTAGGGAATGAGGAAACAGCAACTAATGAAGGTAAGGAAGAAAAGGTCTTAATGATGTGAAGAGACACCCTGTCCCAAGCGCTGCCAGCAACCTCTGAATTAAGAATAGCTTGTTTCCATTCTGATTTAGTGGTATAAGCATTCATGTGGTAACTATCATTGTAACATCTGAGCACACTTTACAAGTACAGTAGCAAACATTACCAGCTCTCTCAAATAGGAGCCCGCACTCTGACTCCCTCCAGCACCAAATTTGTTTGCCTTAAGAATTGCAGAAAACTATCCAAGTAGGTTATGGAGACCAGAGACTTCCTGAACCAGATGTTACCAGAGAGTTGAAGAAATGAGTTCTACATCTTGTTCTCATTGTGAGCAAGTTTTGGCTCAGAAGATGATCCTTCTTCGATATCTGACTGTGCTGTTCAAAGCAAAATCCTTGGCATGCACCTGCCTTTCTAATGTTTCAAGAGGCAAAACAACATCGGAGGTTATTCACAGGTCTACAGCACTGAACATACCAAATCCTCTGCTGTTACTGGTTCTCCTTTCTTGTCATTAGCCACCACCATTTTCCCCAGCCTCTCCTTCATGTCTTGCAGGCTGGTGGCAAGTGCCAGGATGGCCATAATTTCACTTGCAACAGCAATATCAAACTGAGCCTGTAAAACAGAAATGAGAATCATGAACCACATCAAAGTCAGGTCAAATACTCACAGGGAATCATCAGGAATAGACCCAGGAAAGACAGATTTCACACTGGTATTCAAACAAGTTCTAAATTGTAACCCACAGCTTTTGAGATTACTCAGACTAGAGTAACTTGAAACACTTTGTTTATGTTCTCCATTTATTTACTTGGGGACCAGTCTTGCAGAGTGCTTAGCCCCTTGGCTTACATTATGCTTAGCAGAAGCTCCCTCAAGGACCAAGAATTTTTTTCTGTGGCAAAAAAGAAAATCACCAGATGTATTTTGGGCTTTGCTGGCATGAGCACAGCACTGTGGTGGGTTTGTTTTTTTTTTCCCCTGTAATGCTCTCCAAAGGTTTTTTATTCTGGTTTCAAAAACATTCTTGTTACATTTGATCATTCTTTTTCTACATAAACTCAAAATTGAGAGTCTATGCTGCTAGGTCTTTGTCCTCCCTTTTTTTTAAAAAAAAATGAACAAATATATAAGTTAAAAAAACCTCAAGAACTGTACGTGGCATCAGTTCTATTGCTCTTGTAGAAATACATCCATACTGTGCAGTATTTCAGCACAACATAAGCTGTGGTCCTTACTTTTCTTTAAGAGCTTGCAGTATACATTAGAAGTATTTGTACTAATTTACTATTAGTAAGCCCCAGGCCACTTGCTGTCAGAACATAAACAGAGAAGAAAGGCAAAGTCACTAATGTATTATGTGATAGGAATGCAATGTTGGGGGTGAACAAGAACTACAACTGCTTTAGTAATCTATCCATCTCCAGCAATTAAAGTCTATACAAAAGTGTAGTAATTGACATCCTACTGTTATCTATGCAAAAAAAAGCCCCCAAGACTGTTTCTATGTCAGACCTCTACGAGATGTTTCCAATACTGACTAATAGTGGAGGAATCTGTTCAAATTGAGGGTTTTGCCTGTTTCTAAGAAGCATCTACACAGAGAGTTGTTCAACATATATATACCTTACCACTCCTATCCATTTGCCTAGTACTTTAACAGCTTCTGCCCTTTTTTAACCTATGTTCCTGCTTTTAGATTCTGTCTTGACAGCTGCAGCCCAGAGCAGCCCTATTCAGGCTGACCTCTATGTACCTGCATGTTAGTCAAAACTTCTGAAGACACCTGAGCACTTTTCTGTATTGGGCCCAGACAGGGAGAGACATACACCATGGAAAACAAAAAATAATCGTGTAATTGAGATTTTCTGCATAGGGAGTCAGATGAAGTGCTGAAGTTACAAAGCAGATTTTCTGTATTCCCTGGAAGCAGTTCTATACATAACAGAATAGCTGGGTACACAATGAGCATTATTAGCACTGCGATGACATGGATGCTACTATCTTTTCTGAAGTTAAGACTGTCCCCGGTAAGTCTTTGCAGCATATGTAAGACAGAAAATAAACCCGAGAAATCTATGCCCAACCTGTGTACTGGAATATTATCTAACTTTATCAGGATGTTTATCAGGAGACCAAAAAATAAGTTATCATCATCATTGTTTCTATATAAATCCAAAAGGACAGGAAAAACAATCCCAGGTAGATGCTCAGAGTGACATAATATTTAATAGAAAAAACAGACACAAAAGACTCTGGTAGCAGGTGCTATTTTAACTCTAATAACCTTTATACACCTATGAAGTGCTGACAGAAGCCTTAGCTGTAAAGTCAGTTCTCTATTGATGAAAGGATCCACCCGCATGGATTCAATTGCAGGATCAAGGGCATCAGTCATGTAATACTCTTTAGAAACCACAGCATCCCTGTTCATTAAAATGCAGACTTTTGTGCCTGCTGTGCTCTGCCATTTCACACAGGTGTCATTGATTTTAAGAGTGCTAGAACATCACTCCAAATATTTATAAAATGCATCTGTTAACTATGAAGTCCTGTTTTCTCTGGATCTCCGGCTATGCTCTGAAATGAGTTTTCCTAACTGTTCTCTATTTCTCGAGTCACTAAGTCCATGTTAAAATGTGAATGGATATGCATCAGTCCAACACATCAAAATTGAAAGCATCAAGGTCATTTTAGCCAAAACAGTACAGAAGCAACATTTGACAGCCATATGTCTATTCTTTATAATAAAACAACCCACTTTTAACTCAGCAGCGTAATTACAGTGGTAAAATGCTGCACAATAAGGCTGGGAGAACCTGGCTCAAAGCTAATAATCACACTGAGTCACTGAAACAAATCTAAACATAGGAAAACGTCTCAAGTGTTGAAGGCACTTGTACCAAGTATAATATTTTGTAGTCCCTGCCCATTATCAGAGATGAGTATTAGCTAATATTGAGTTTTCTGTAAGTTATAGACAGAAAAGTCTCTATCCCGTGTGTTTAAAACCAAAACAAGCGAGCATTTCTAGTGGAAGGTATCCCTGCCCATGGCACAGGGGTTGGAAGTAGACGATCTTTAAGGTCCCTTCCAACCCAAACCATTCCATGATTCTATGATTTCTCTTTTAAGTTCCTCTGTCCAATTTGACTGTTTTACCTGCTTAATTTAGCAAAAACATTAGCACTATTTTCTGGTCTCTTTATTTAGGCACAAAGCCTGGAAGAGGTCTGAAATGATAAAGAAAAATTAAAGATAGGATTTCCGAAATGAATGAAAGCCTTATCTCTACCACAATAGCTATTTACTTCACCTCTAAATAGTCAGAACCTCATGAATTTCATGATCCAGAATGTTAGATTACAATATCTTCATCGAATTGGGAGCAACTCCACATCATCACAATGAGTTTGTTCCACCTGGCATTGCTGTTCCACACTGCATTGTTTCACAAATGGATTTACCCACATGACACCAGGAACACTTGTTCAGATAGTGTTGGAAAAGTCTGGCTTTCAATTTATCAGTAAGTTCTTTAATAAACTTCCAGAAGCTCTCATGTAGTAATGTAGGTTAGCTTTTTACACTGCTGAAACGTACACACATGCTGATTTTCTGAACTATCCCTTCAAGCCCACATATTAAAATTAAGCATGTGCTCAAAGTTCTTACAGTTTAGATCCCAAAGCTGAGATGCATGATAAGGAAATGAAAACTGAATAAAAAGCTAATGGTCATTTTCAGTCCTCACCAGTGGGACCAACAACACATAAGCCACGCCTCTCCCCAATTTTTTAACATTAAATTTAGATGTAAATTAAATTACATAAATACTACATAAATAGTTCGAGGGACTTAAAAAAAGTAAGAAAAATCTCATAAATTAACCGTAGGAGGGCATAAGAACACCTTTTCTACTCACAGGACAACAATATCAAACCCCTAACCTACGCAATTTTTTCAAGTGCTTTCAACACATTGTGCAATATGCATTGGTTTCTGTTTCTGAAACTTCAGACTCAGTTACTCATTAACACAATCAGTTTCACTGCAAGAATACTATAAAACAGCAACAGATGTTAGCTTTGCAATTCAAAGTAGTATGCTGAAAGAACTGCAGAAACATTTCTCAGACTCTAAAGCAAAGTCTGTCCAGAATGAGATACATTAACTGCCTTTACATACCTGACGGACAAATCCTTTCTCTGTATTTGCCTGCCCAACTGTTATTTTGCGCAGGAATCTGTCATTTGTATCCACCACTGAAATAAGGGAATAGCAAAAGCAAAACATGTTAACAAGGACTCAGGGATCTGGGTTTTTCCAGGCATACCTGTTATACGTGTAAGATTCAGCTGCTTGAACAGTGTAACCAGCCAGCCACACTCCTGCACGTTAGCATTAGCACTGTCTTAGTTTCTCCCTTCTAGTTGATACCATTAGATGACAGGTTGAAATAACTCAAATACAATTTCTCTGAACAGTATTTGAAGCTAACAGATTCTTAAAATTCTAACATACAAATTAATATTTTACCTACATAAGAAAAATCGGTCTTAGTAGATACAACGTACCTCAGACCTACTTCAAATCATTTGCTTCGTCATTGACTGGTTAAGAATTGATTTTAAGACTGTATGATGTAGGTTAAACTTGGTCTGTTTCTCTTTTAAAGGATGATTATGTTGTCAGATTGGTTCTTCCAGACAAGTCACTTTCTTGCACATCACAGTAACTAACTCCACATTCAGCTGCACAGCATTCAAAGGAAGTTTTTTTTCAACTGCCAAGATCAACCATCTGCTATTTAACGCAACTTCAATTTCAGACAGTTGTATTTCTAACCTGGAAACACTTTTGGTATTGCAAGGGCATGTCCAAACCATCCTGTGGAATTGCTAACTTCACTAACAATCATCGCAAGCCAAGTTCTCCAATTCTGCACTGACAACACTCAACTTCAAACGTGCCTTTCTAAGAACCAAAAGGAAGGACTGAGAATAATCGAAGAGCGCTCTCATCTGCTGAGAACAGATCAGGGTGTTTCTTAGGAAGAAACATTAGGAGGATGTTTCTGTTTGTTAAAAAACGAGACCGAACTCCAAGACCTCTCCTTCCCAGGAATGGCAATCCCTACAGAATGCAGAAATAGGCTCCCTCTTTCTTATGGACTCTTTAGCCCTACAAATGTTTCAATTATTCACCAACCCTAAAAGAAAGGGTGGAAGGTACTCTTGATCAGTTCAGCCTGTAGCTTGGTAATCAAGTCAATCTTCTGGTAGATGTAGATTTGAGCCCTATTCGTTTAGAAGCAGACAATCAAGGAACCTCCGGAGAAGTTGTCTGTACTGAAGGTCAGTGAAATCACCTCCTCCCGCTTTTCCTGTTGCTTTTGGAGATTAACAAATTTGTCTGTACAGAAAAGGATGGCATAATTACCCAAGAACAAGAGGGACTTTGAATCTCAATCCTACACAACCCCAGTTCAGGGTTGTGAGTGAGCTGGGAGAAAAGCAAGGTTTAAGCCGCTTCCCTTCTTGGGCATTTCTCACGGGGCTGTTGTAAATACCATACATGCCTTCTTCCCACTACATGGTATTTAGGCCCCTTGTTTCTTCAGGAATTCCATTTAAGGGATGGTGCAACACAGATTTGGTTAACTCATTTTGGTTTCTATTTATATACAGTCATACTCTAACTACAGTACTGGCAGAAATTGCAGAACAGAGCCCGGTACATGGAAGCAGAAGCCTCATACCAAGCTGTGGTACCATATGCCACCGTCAAGCCATATGGCAAGCTGATCTCTCAAGCACAAACTTACCCCTTCTCCTCCTAGGAAGCTCAGTCTCACGAACAGCCTTAAGCAGACCTAAATGTCTTTCCTGCCTACCCAGGCACGGCTGAGAGCAGAAACTAGCCTTCCCACCAGCCTGGACAGCCAGTGGGCTGCTTTTTATCTGGCCCTTCCTAGTGAAATCATGTAACCTGAACACCCTTACCATGAAATTATAACTACCCCTGCAACTCTTTCTGGTCACTGGGATACACTGGCTTTCTCGTCACGGTCAGAAGTCATTCTCCAGGAAGATTCCAATAGCTGCACTTAGAAGCAGTAAAATAAGAAATAATTGGTTTTGCCACAAAAGCAATTTTTCCTTCTCCAAATTTTCCCTCTTCCTTACCCAAGTAAACATTTCAGCAAAGTTTAGGTTCAACGAAGTGTTAGGTTTAATGTATCTACTTCCATATCCTCTAGAGATATAAACAGGATCTGAATACCAGGGGAAGGGTAAGTAGAGGGAAGCTTTCCTTCTTTTCAGTATGTTGTACCTGTTCAAGTTGGTATAAGAGGACAATGAACTTTAAGCTTGTGACACAGGACCTGTAAGGAAACAGGTCCTGAATAAAACTAATTTTCAGACAATCCGATAGCTTTCTCTTCTGCCCTACAAATTCCCTGGTACATAACAAGCTTCACAGACATATGGATTGCAGAAACAGTCCCAAATAAAACATTTTCCAAGTTATCTAAAACATACCTCAAACCAATTTTTTTCTGAGATGTTTAAGATATGTACATCATATAGAGTTGTGTGGAATAGAAGTTTCACTAACATTGTTTGAGATGAATTAAATAACTCACTTGAGGTTAACAGATGTTGAGTAATGTTGCCTCCTCCCAAACCCGTGCTGATAAAAACGATGAGTCATACTACACTAAATATTTACATTATTACTCCTTCATCCTAATACAGGTCTCTTCCAGACACACTGTGTGACTAATAAAAAACATCTTATGCCACATCCCCCAGTATTATCTTGAGAAAAATATCCCAAGTCTGAGATGACATGCACACAAAGGGCACAGTAAAGCATGGCCAAGACGCCTCACTTCTCAACAGATTCACCTTATTTCTCTGAGCATCACAATACATTCCATTTAACAATTATTTTGAACTAATAACTTTGGTGTTTGAGAACTTAGGAAGAAAATAAAATCCAATGGAATTTAGCTCAAACCTTTATGAGAGTTTACTTGCTTAAATAAAAAAGATATACACAGAAGTTGAGGTAAACACTGAAATTTAACCCAGCACCAGAACTGGAAAATGCAGAGGGGAGTTGTCTAAGGGTTTGCTTGGCGTACATAGTTGAAACTGTACCACATCTTTCACCTCTTCTTCCTAAGAAAGCAAACAACTCAAGACACTTTAAAAATAGGAAAAACACATAATCCCTGAGGCCTATTTAGTCTCTGAGCTACCCAGACTGCTGAGCTGGGGAGGATCAGGGACCAAAATCAAGTAGATTAAGTACAAATAATCTAAAACCACAGTTAAGAAAAGAATGGATAAGATCTGTAAAATGCACAGAAAAGCCACTTTCATATGTTTTAAGATGTATTATCTAACGTGAGAGAAACAAGGGATGTACTTAAACTGTCAGAGCAACCTATCTTTCAGAATATTAGCAAAGTCTCTTGAGTCACTGCAGATATTTGACAAAGTTTAGAGCAATATACTGCACCCAAATTTGTTATGCACCCACATTTCCCACTTGCAAACAGGTTGTTCTTACAGTCAGAGAGCAGAAACAGCTCTGATTCCGGTAAAATTAAGCAAATTCGGAAATAAGTTATAACTAAATCTGAGCTGAAATGAGGCTTTTTGACTACATACCTCTTTGCCATGTTATGGTAGATGGGTCAATATCAAGGCGCGCAAATCTGCTGATCTCCTCTTCTGTTAAAGTCCCAGGATCAGTCTTGTTTATTCCCAGCCTCTATGCAAAAACAAGTTAAAGAAACGCAATGAAGTGGCTGGTTTGCTTCAACAGGTATAGCTCTGGCTTTTCACCCCCACTTTCAGCAAGCATTTTGGAAAGCAGCATGTCAGGACCAAAACTATTTAAAAAAAAAAGCACACAGGAAACCACCTGTAACTAAAATATGGGCAAATGTAGATGGAGAAATGAAGCGAAAAAGGAGAAATACTCATAGGCCATTAAATTAACAATCTCTTTCTTACACAGAAGAAATTCTCAATGTAAACCATAGAGAAAATTCAACTTTTTTTTTTTAGGTATAAGGAATCATTATACTAAAAATAATTCATAGTGAAATAATTCAGTTATATTGGAAATTATGATGCATGCATTTGAATGTTATAAAGCCAAACATTTTTTACTCAGCTGCAGCTCATGTGAAGAGAGAGAAATCCATTTCAACTGCAGAGACAGTTGGTATGTCATGAATAACCAAACCACTCCCTGTCCTCCCCTACCTGTTACCCTACACACAGTGTAAACAAGGACAAAACAAAAATACTCCAACATTCTGACGGAAAATTCCATGAGATCTACTCTGCCACAGAGGCAAGCAGGTATCATCCACATTTTAGTTTACTGTCTTTCAACCGAGCAGCACAAAAGCTTAAAATGTTATGAGAAACTATTTTTATTTTCAAAACAGAAGCTGATATTACCTCTATCCTCCTTTCCACCCCCCAATTCCAAGTGCGCACTTAGCAGCTATCCATTGCCATCCACAGTGACTCTGAAACACCACCGGTCAGGACTCAACAGCCTACAACAAACATGGAACTGGAAGCAGACTGAAGCTGTCCTTAAGGTTCATATTCAAGGGGTTCATATTCTCCTTCCCCTATGCTAGTGGACTGTGTTGCTGTCTCGTTATTTATCAGAATGGCAGCCTCAAATCCAGATATGTTATTCATACATGAATTGCACAGGAAGCTCTTCTGGAAGCATTCAGGAAGCAAGATGGGATGCAAAAATATACTATGCACACAAATGTACTTCTACCCCTCAAAGGACGAATACTGTCAAAGTGACATCAATAAAACTCCAGAAGTATATGCTATAATAAACTTTCAAAACCAGAAAATATTGCAAAACCAAAGAATGTGAGCTTTCAACCATGACTTTACCATAATAGGAAAAGTATTTTAAAAACTCTAACTTTAATATTTCATCAGGAAAGACACAGCATTTATAAACATTATTGGTTCATTTCAGAGGAAAAGAATAGCAAAAATGTTGGTTATGAAAATAATATCAGACCCAGATCCTATTACTTGAAGGAGGATGCTTTTAGAAAAAAGTCTGGACTTGATAAATTCATGAGGAAGGTTTATACAAACTTTGTCCCATACATCAAATAATTTTAAACAAGTTGCATAAGAAAGTGCATTTTATGAAGAGATACTATAATTGAGGAGAGACTACATTAACAACTTACTCTCAGACGGGCAAGTTGAATAGCAGAAAATCCTCTCACACCATTAACTACTGGAACCAGTCTATTATACAAAGCCTAGAAAAAAACTTACAAGAAGTTAATAAAATAAAAAAAAGTTACAACTAGGAACTATTTAAATAAAAAGTTAATGCTTTTATTCTATTTAGACTAATTTCAGTAAGAATTTCCCAACCACTTAAGTTGTGGACTTCTGGTTAGCCGTTTAAAAAACCACTCTGAAAAGGTCATAGGTTTTTGAGCAACGCCTATGATTTAACAGTCTAAATCCAATTACTAAAATGACTGTTTCTATATTTCACCAAAAAAATTTGTATTATTTTTGAAATTGGGAACCCTTTAAAACTTTAACCAAGGTCCAATATTCAACTATAACTCTCATCTGCAAACTGGCCTAAATGCACATTTTTGTTGTACCAAGTAAAGGGGATATGACAACCTTGCTCAGTTTTAACACTGCAGCCAAAAAAAGGAGGCTCCTTCCTTTACTTTGTCCCTTTAAAGACTCAAGTCAGCATTTGTGTTAAGGTCACAACAGATTTAGTGGAGGGAAAAGGATGCAGTTTATTTTCCCCACAACCCCTTCTTCTTAAGGTATATCATACCCAACTACACATCAGAAGTATAATTTTTAACTTTAAAAGGCGTATACAAATTATTAAAAAGAATAAGATTTAGAGAGAGAGAAAACATCTTTTATCAGACTATTTAGAACAGTCTGAACTAGTTGACAAGGTTCTGGGCATAAGATCCTTATTTTAAAGACTATCTTATGATAGCTATTTGCCATAAAAAATATATTCTATAAGCATAATTTCCCAGCAGAACACAGAATGGCTTCAGCGATAGTTTCTGTTCACACGGTGAAAATATAAAAAGATAATCAACTTATTTTGCTTTGAAATGTAGTTTATTGAAAAATTGACAAGAAAAATGCCATGTGGATATTAGAAAATAATTCTCACCTTATCAGACTGAGTGTTCTCATGCAAGATCCTAGCATCAATAGCAGCAGCCAGCAAATTATTCGCAGCAGTTATAGCATGAATATCTCCCGTCAAATGAAGATTGAACTAGAAGGTGAAAACAACAACAAAATCTTTTTATAAGAAACCATTTAACTCAATTTATTAATCTCAGACAGATTAGCAGAAACAATCACTGCCATCTCCTTGAGGTTGCAGCACAGATTAGTCACCTATCAGTGTAGATGAACTATTATCAGGCTGAAAATACACCGAGCTATGCGAAGGACTTGTTTTCACCTGAGTACATAGTAAACTACCCTTAGTTTAGCCAAACAAAGCCACAGACATCTTTATTTGCTAAATGATCCAAGAACGAAAAGCCCAGGGCTATGGTTACACATATTAATACTAAATCAGTTTACTGTCAGTATTTACTGTTTGACCTGGACCAGAGGTGTAGATTTCTGCTGAATCCCCCAGAGCACACCGTGCGTGCCAGCTTTGGGGGTGTATGCCAGCTTTCTGCTAGCCACGGGAGAACAGCCCGTAGCTGATCAGGCATGAACTTTGCTGATACAAAGCTTGCCCAACAAAGTTTTGTGGAAAAATCTGAAATCAGCAGTTTAGATTAGATTAGGACTTGTGTTACATAGGTGCTGTATTTTTCACGTATCTCTGACAGAAGGAGGCCGAAGGTCAGTTTTAATTGCACTGCAGCACTGACTGCAGAGGGGCACTGACAGCAACAGACACCAGCCCCTGACTGTGCTCGCACTCACATACAACAGGGGATCAAAACTCTAACTAAGCCCTACATTAGGGCTCTGTTCGGACCAGCTGTGCACTTTCAAGGTGGTACTTCAGCAGGTCGGGCCATGGAGTGGTTTTGTTGAGCTCTAAATTAGACTCTTTTGGTGTGAAACCATTGTGCATTTCCAAACAAGCACTGTGAATATATGCATAAGCTTAGCCATACTATCCTTATGTGCCCCATTGGCCAGAGAATCTGCTTGCATTTTACGCTCTGGAAACCAACACAAAACTCTGCTGTCAACTACAGCGTGCTGAAGCCCCCGGGTGCACTGCTAAGCCTGCTGAGGACAAGGGAGGGAGGCTAAGAAGGCACCCAACTGACAAGAAACACTACACGTGGTCTACATTTCATCTCTGTCCTTGACCCAGCCTGTCCATAAACGTGTGGACCACATAGCTTTACATTGTGAATGTTGTGCTAGGCAAGGGTGGACACTTCAGTCAGAGTATTGCTATTTTCACAGTGAGAGTATTTTGAAAGCATGCACCCAGCTGGTTCCTTCCAAAGCCAGCACATGATTTTCAGAAGCCCTTGAAGAGGGCTAGGGATGACGCAATCTTCAACAGAAATCCATTTACTTGTGGGTAGAGGACAGCTGCAGATTAATTTAGAGGTAAGAAAACAATTCTTTCACTTTGACAGTGCCAGGGTGCCGGGGGCACCACCTGCCCTGACTATCCCTGCCCAGCCCCCCAGGGCTCCCCCATGGCCCAGGGCCCCACGTCAGCCCCGGGGGCCATCAGCCCCTGCCCCAGTGAGGCTGCAGCAGGGCCGGTCTCCAGCTCCCCACAGCCCTGCCCTGCCCACCCACCGGCCCCACGAAGTCAGGCCAACCCGTGGGCCCACATCCCAGCCTGGCCTTGGCCCATCCCCATGGAGGTGCCCAATGCCTGGGCTGGGGCTGCCCCAGTGCCCCCAGCTGCCTGCTCCTGGCTGGCAGTGGGACAGACCCTGGCTGCCAGGCCCTGCCTGGCCACCCCATGGGGAGCCCCAGCCCCTGCAGCTCCCCAACAGCCTGCACCTGTGAAAAACAATTTTTCACGGGAGACTTCTCTGTCTCATCACTGTTGTTGAGCCACATCATCTTCTTTTTACTTATCTAGCAAAAGTTGTGGTATTCACCCCTCCGCAGTATTCTGGGCATGTCTCACACTACCACAGGAGGGTCATCTTGGCTAAAAACAAGTACATTTTGCCACACTCAGTAACTTCTGCTAAAAAGAAATATTAAATCTACATTTGAAAAAGAAATTTCCTCAACCCACCAGCCCTGGGTCTCCCTGCCTTTTTCTACTCCACCAGAGAAGTAATGCTTTCTCATTCTCTTTTGCAATAGATGTGGATATAAAAGGAAAAAATTAGCAGTAGCCATCTCTTTGTCTTGTATATTACACGTGGACAGCAGGCTTTCTTCCCAGGAAGCTTGTGAAGCATATTCGAGATGTTACAAACATGTACAGTATGCTGTGCAATGTTTCTGCACCCCCACTCCGCAGCCCCTTCACGTCACACAGCAGGCACGTGGAGATGGCAAGGACCACCCAATTCTCCAGGCAGACCATTGCCACCGACCAAGTGCTGCATCGGCCACCTCAGCCTACCCACCCCTCCTAGAGGGACAGGGACTTGCTGCCTCCCCTGCTGTCTCACCTCCTCCATGGGAATCACTTGAGCGTATCCACCACCGGCTGCTCCACCTGCACAGGACAGCATATGGTCACATCAGACTCACACCAGTTTTGGAAAAAAACAACCACTCTTAAACACACAAAGTGAAACATACAGTGTTGATGACACGTTACTCAGCATTTTGATTTCTATTAGGGGATCAATGATGCACGCAAATAAACAGGATTTCCTTAAACCTTGCTGGCTTTTTTCAGCAGGCAGTAAAAAGGGAATTCTTGATCTGAAATGAAAGCCTCCACGTGATGGCTGGCCCAGACTTTGGCTAGATAAGGGTTACCCTCTGCTCCTGCGCAGATTTCGGACACAGTCATGCACATGCAGCTGTTGGGTGGAAAGACATAGCAGTCACAAGCAAGCACTGCTTCTGAATGAAACCTTCACACTCCTGCCTGAGCGCTCCTTCCCCACTGCCTCTCAGGGTACAGGCAAAGGAGTTCGCTGTAGCCTACACACAAGTTGAGTGGAGGGATTAAAGCACTCACATGCACCAGTCTTGGCTGAGAAGCACCAAGCACCAGGAGCCTTCCAGCTGAAATCAAACTTGTTAACTTAAACTTCAGCAAAGCAAAGCAGAGCAGATGGGGAGCGCTTGCCCAGTTAGGCACCAATCTCAGCTGAGAAATGGCAAAAAAAAGATCGCATTACTTCCTATCAGCATTGAAGACAGGCTTGAACTCTGGCTGGCTCTTACCTGGCCCTCAGGCTCTTAAAGGGTTTCTAGGCAAAAAGGCAGCAGCCCATGATTAGGGGGGACAACTCAGAAGAACAGAAAGAAGAGGTTCAGACCTAGCCGAACGTATGATGCAGACACAGCTGAACCATTCGCATAACTGCCAACTTCCTTAGCTTGGATATATTTCAAATCAATACGAGTGGATTTAGGACTCCTTCTCAAGGAATAATTAAACAGTAACATTTAGAGACATCTTTAGAGAGTCTTCAAGCAGGGGAGTGGCTGGAACGGTGTGTACTCACACAAAACTCCTCCTGGCTAATTCATCCCCAAGCCTTTCATTATGTTTGGGCTTTATCTGCATTATCAATACACATTAAGTACGTGAACATAGATATGAACCTTGCATGGGAAGATGTGTGCAAGAAACCTTTATCTATTAGTTATATATCTATCAAAAAATCCAATATGCTACCATTCAGACAATCCACTGAGTTAGTGAAGTAACTAAGGAATTAAAAAAGGAAAAAAAAAAAAAAAAGAAAAAAAAAAAAAAAAGGAAAAAGAAAAAAAGCAGTATTTCCTTTTAATCTGAAAGAGGTCATAGAGTCTGCAAATATTATGTACCTTTAACTCCAAAAGTAGGTCCTTGGGAAGGCTGTCTCAGACAAGCAAAGGAATTAATGTTAAGGTGTGCAGTAAGCGCCTGAACGAGACCAATTGTGACTGTGCTTTTCCCCTCTCCTAGGGGTGTAGGGGTTATTCTAGCAAAACAAGAAAAAAGATTAATCAAATTCTTTGCTGATGTCAGCCTGGCTAAGGATATCAGAACTTACAGCTTTTGATTTCAATGAAGAATATTTGTACAGCAAATTTCAATAAGATTACTTTATCTCCACAAAAATACTGCCACAATGTTAGCCCCTAGCTCAAGCTGGAATGCTAATATACATGTGTCTTCTATTTAAGCAATTTACTATGATAGCAGAAAAAGAGAAGATTATTTTGGCAAAAGTTCTAAAAAGAATATATTGAATTTAGACATTTTTATTACAGCACAAAAATCTTACCAGTTTCATTAACAAACCATCCATCAAGATATTCTGAGCATGTACTAATACTGTTCTGTAGTAATGCATGAGATGTTTTATTCCCACTGCTCAAACTTTGAATGAAATAATAGAATATTTTAAATTAAATAACCAACACTTTTGTTTGTACAGCTCAACTATCCCTCTCCAGCTTCCACGTCATCATAACCCTCAACAATGACAGATCAACTGCTTTTTAAATAAAACAGGACACAAAAGTCACTATATTCAACTGAACATGATTTATTTCACACTTAGGTTTCGTGACATTTTTGCAGATTTAAGGGTGATGAGGGACAATTACAATCACAGTCTGACCTCCCATACAAAAGCTCAAAAACCTCATGCTACAATTCCCACATCTAGACCGTGATTGAACCAGGACAGAATTTTAGAAAGACATCCAATCTCGAATCAGACTTTAACCTCTACTCAAAGACTCTATTCTTGTCCCTTTAATGAAGGGACAATGAGAGCTGATTTTGCAAGGAGAAAACTTCATCAGCTTTCTGTGAATGAGAGAGACCTCAGTTTAAGTGATGTCCTCTCTACTTTCAAGGTCAGCACATTTGGTTATGATCCACGTTAAAAGTGGGGGGGTGTTGGGTTTTTTTTCCTTTTTCTTTTTTTTTTTCTTCCTTAAAGTATGAACACATCTCGCATCTCCAAAATGCATTCAAATAATTCATCTGAGGCACAGCATTTCTCCTTCTGACTGGCAAAAGAAGAAAGCCCCAGCCCTTTTTCCACTCACACCGCTCTCACACAAGCCCTACTTTTTGGCAAAGTGTAACCATTCAATATCTTTGCTGCCTTCACTACCCGCAGAGAATTAAGTACCTTAGTGAAGATGACGTTAAGAACTAACGTTCATTCCCAAGGAAATACAAGCATGCACATGCATCCTAAGTCAGAGGAACCCTTATCCCATGACCTCTTCAAAACTTGAGCTAAAACATCTAGCTCTAATTAGAAACACTTCCTTTCCCAACTAGTAATTTTTCCAAGATATTGCTATCCTCAGATCACAATTCAAATGGCATAAAAACATTAGTAAAATTGTCAAATGCAAGGAGACATCTGTGTTGTCTCTTTGCCTTTAAGATTCAACTTAGTTCAGTTTGTTCACAGATTGACAAAAGCCCTTCTTTGTCACACAAAATGTAAACACATGAAAAACATTAACTTGTCACAAACCTATCTTTTATATCATCATCGGATCCTGGTTTTTTTGTTAAAAAAGAAGCCTTTGTTAGATATGTCTGGAAAAATTTGGGCAGTAGGAGACAAGCCAAATTAACATCTTCTATATTGTTCTAGGAAAGAATTTTCCTATTCAGAAAAGTAGTGTTTTAACTCAAGTTCTAGTGAAATCAATGGGTTTTAGTGCATCTGTAAGAGATTCCCTGAACTGAGACTCTTCAAAAATAGTATTTTGTCTACTGATAGCTTTGAACTACTCTTATATGACCATGTAGCACATGGGTTACTTAATTTGGGCATTTGTTTTTAGTAATTTTGTCCCACATTTATAACATCATGTTTGCCAACCATCAGATTCCAAAGCATCATCAATAACTTACTATCCAGACTATTTTGTCATCCCGCCTTCCTAGAACCACACTCTCTTGACTTAAAAGGGAATTCACAGATTTTTAGCAAAGTATCTATGTAGAGCCAACAAAAGGTGGGAGTTTTAGAGCATATCCTGAGAAGAATCCATTTTATCTACTCTCAAAAGCCATTTTATCTACTCTCAAAAGTGATTTGGGTCCCTGTCATCTTTTTATCCATACTATGCCTTCTTGTTTCCTTCTGATCTACCGCAGGAGCACAGAATGCTACTTCCATTTCTTTCACTTTAATGTTTGCAGATCCTAGAAGAATGGGTACTTTTTAATCTCTACGCTGTCGTAACAGCAAGCCCTCCCGGTTTTACTGTTGCTACAATGATAGCTTCCGGCTTTCCCACCACTATTTCTTCCATCTCCATTTTGTCCCAGATCCTTACTTTTGTACAAAGATGCTTCCTTCAGAGCACCACAGCCAGGTTAACTCACTTTCACTACCAGTTTCACCCTCCTGACTACTGTTCTAACACTGGTTGCCCCAAACCCATTCAAATCATTATTAGCATGGTTTCTCCTTGCTCCTTGTTCTCCTACCGTCTCATTCACTTTTGTCTATTGCCCTAATCTCATTTACTTGACCCTCTTATTCCTGTGCACTAAAGCCAGATTTAAAGAATATATGAGTAATCTTGAGGCATTACTGCACTCATTCAAAGACTTAACAAGATAATAACTCTTTAAGCTATTAGTTATTTAAAAAACAAAACAAAACAAAAAATCCACGACCAAAAAGCAAACTATTCTGCTACGAAAAAGACACCTATAACTGTTTACTGGAAGTTACCAGTAAAGGACTTCCCACAAACCCCAAAAACTCCATGCACACAACGTCTACGCTGCTAACAGAACAACTTATATTTGCAGTGCTTCCTGTTGGTGGTTACCCCTATTTCTGAACACCAGACACATGAAGTTCACATTCAAGAGAATTCAGAGACACCATCACTAGGTTATTTACTCAAGTGCAGCTCAAAACATGGCAGAAGGCTGAGCTGGCATGCACAGCTGCACAGGGACTCTTTACAACTCTTATGAAACAAGCAAAATCAAAGATGCAGCCTACTACTCAGTAAAGGAAAGGAAATTGGAATTGACAAATACATAACCAGAAGGTATGTTCATAGTTGCATGAAGAATAGTATCTACTTGTCCCAGAAGATACACACAATCAAGCACCACATTACTAAAATGCTCTGGTAACCTGGCTGGCCTATTCTAAATGACTATGTAAAATGAGCCAGAAAGCACTGGGAATTTGCTATGGGAAAGACCTTTTTCCAGAGAACAAAAAGAGAAACACACCATTGCTCATTGATCAAACTGGGAGGACCAGATCTTGCCTCTGCTGAATTTCCAGTACCTTGGTACTCTGCACCAGCGACATCCCTACTGAGAATGTGGAACTCTAGGAGAACCAGCCTCCACCAAAATGGGGGTAAAAATGAACTAGAGCAAGCTTATTTTCACCAGTGTACTCATGCAAGCACACAACGGTTTGCAGCAGTAAACAGACATGTCTTTGCAGACAGGACCTTGACTTCATCAAATCTGCTTGGCTTTAACAGCCTACACTTTCAATGTGTTCCTCAGATGGGTTTGTTCATTTTAATCTGTTCTCTCCATTCTGAGAAGCCTTAGCTTTCCTGGAACTAAAGTTACTCAGATGAATATCTAAAGGCTCAAAATGTCTAAAGACAGCTGTGATGGCGGAAGAAAACCAGCAACCAGACTTCCATAAACAGTCTACAGCACTTGGGTAACACTCTCCCAAGAAACCTCGTCCACTGCAGCAGGTAAGAACAGGCACAAACCCCTGAGAAGTCAAAACCAGGAACCAGACTTTTCAGTTTCTTTCCACCTAACAGAATTAACAAAACATGAGGACTCTGCGAATCACACTATTCGGTGAAGCCAGACTGCTCCAGACAGTTCACTTACCTGTCCCCAACTTCTCATCTTACATGAGATGCCCTGGCAGGACACCTTTGATTCTCAGAGGCTCAGTAGCAGCCTGGAGACTACAGGATAAACCTTAAGAGCTAAACAGCTATTTAATAGTTTCAATAGTTACGAGAACCTCAGTTTTAAATATTAGTTTAAAAAAAAAAGCCAAACAAAAAAAACCCACAACACCCCTCCGCCCCTGAAATTAAGAGATATTTCTATTCTAATAATTTCCTTAGAAAGCTTATTTTAAGTATCTTCCCTTTTGTACCTGGCCTACTTTGATCAGTTTTTATAAATAAAATAATCCACTTAAGCTGTTTTGTGGACATTGAGATGTTTTTGCTGGCTACACTACTGAGCCTACACTCTTGCAACTTAGGTCACTAGCTCGCATGAGTATAAAATTACAACTGCCAATGGCTAACTTTAGCTCAATTGTGCAATGCTGTGTTTTGACCTTATGCAAATCTAGAAAAAAACCTCCTTTAAAATACAGTAAATTTTAATGAACCTCAAGAGACTTTTACACCCATTTGCATTATTCTTCAAATTTCTTTAATATGTTTTCAATCTAAACACAGAAACCCCACAATCATTTTCCTCCTTAAAACTTCTTACTTTGCCACCTACCAAGCAGTCACCAGCTCCTTGGCAAAGCCTTCCATAACATTGGAAAGCCTTCTCTCTTTATGTATATCAAAACAAAGATAAGAACATGCAGACTTTTTGTTTGTTTGTTATACATCACATTAGCTCACAGTGGAGCTGTTTCTGTGGGAAAGCTCCATGAGGTCTCCCAAAGAGAAAATAAACAAACAGTGAGACGATACACTGCACCAGCTGTAACCTCCTCACAGCTACCCCAGCCGTCATGACTCCAGCAAGATCTTTACTGGATATGTGACAATTCTTCTCTTTCAAATTTCCTATCTTCAACTCATCAGTATCAGCAATTTCAAAGATTTTGAGAAGTTCACCATTCCCGTGATCCACATGGAAACCTGCGAAGCCTAGCTACAGAGGGCATGGACAATCGAGTTCCCATAAATGACAGCCTCACTTACATACATCTCCCATCCAAGATTACAACTGTCAGAAACTTATTTCTGAGCACAGAAGTGTTGCAACTCCTGTCACTTCATTGAGGTGAGATTATGACAACATTGCAGTGGCATCTTCAAAATGGGACTGGAGCTTCTACATACGAAAGCACAGTGATCACTGTGAACCTAAAATGACTGAACAAAGCCAGGAACAGAGTGAGGAATCCGTAACTACAAACTCTCAAAAGCCAACGAAGACCCATCCAAGACAATCCCAATCATGATGAATACATGACAAACTGTCTCAGCCACGACTTTGCTTTGGACTGTCAGATGTTTCAGTGCATCAACACAGTGGTATTTTCCCCCCTTAGTCTTCCCTGTATTTTTCCTTTTTTTTTTTTTTATGTCTACCGTTTTTCTTACCTTTTAAGCACCTTGTGGCCCAAGAAATACAGTGAACAGACATACAATCCAATACGTACTCATTAGAAGTAAAATGCAATTCCAAATCTGAAAATTCTGTCCCTAAGATATTTACCATCATGCAACTTGTACAAGCATTAAGTTAGTATTTATCTCCCTCCATTTTTATCTTACCAAAAAGGTAGTTCATCACAAAACAACCTGTTAATGTTAGGTGAAAAGTACTGATTTTAAATTTCCCAGCATTCAAAATCCAACACACTTCTTACTAAAAGCAACATTATATTTCATAATTTTTCCACATTCTATTATTCCCCAGCGTGCATTTTTGAAGTGAACAAGTTTCCAGAATTAACTGGTAAAAGCCACAGCAGTGGAGCATTTAAAAACAAAATGCTGGAACACAGACTCTAACAAATTTTAGATGTAGTTTCATATTGTGTTTACAAATATGCTATCTACATGCTTGAATGCATGATTAAGTTACCCTGGGCACTAAACTTAGCTACTAGGTCATGCACAAGCTTCGTTCATTTGCATGCTCTCAGCTTGCAGTGAATGGGAGGCAGTTTGAGTTAATCTTGAAACGTAATTTTCTTTTTAGTACACTAAAAGCCTGTATACAGGCAGTTGATGCCCAAGAGCTAATTACTCCATGATAACTCATGGCTCTGACCCCAAGGTGTCGTAACACAAGCCCTATAACAAGTCACACACATGAAAAAAAAAAGTGAGAATGAAAAAAAGTGAAAAGAATGCTGTCCACACAGAAGAAAATGGAAAAGTTATGAAGAAACTAAGTCTTCATCCTATTTTGGGGTGACATGATCTGTTAATCAAGCTGCAATTTTTCAGCATACAAAGAATGTATTGGATGAGGCATTTAGGTGTATTTGTGTGCACTCAGAAAGCGCAAAGAAGACCTTCCAGTTAGTAGCAGCTTTTTAAAAAGTCATAAATACAGCTATCCTTAGAGATAAAAAGGTACGTTTGGTTGCCTTTTGCTATTCAGAACAATTTTGTGCTCTAGCACATCAGGAATAAGCTAGAAGAGCATTTGCAGCAAATATTTATAATTCCTAGACATCATGAAACATTTAAACCTGGTTGTGGAATTACAGGCACAAATGTCACTGGCTGCATCACGGATGGAGGTTGGAGATTTTGCAGCTTGTTGAATACACACACTTTTCACTCCCTTCACATATGAAAAGTTCACATAATACATAATAAATATTTCCATCAGACCAAATACCCTGAAGTATAAGCATATATCTTAAATGTTTCCACTGAAGCACTGAAAACTTATTTTGAAGACCTATACTGCATCATTCTAAAAGAATTTCTAAATATCTTTGGTTATTGTGAACAAACATCATAATCCAAATGGCAGGTTCTGGTTGACCTTGCCTTGGCAGGGAGAGGATGAAGAAGGCAACTGAGGATATTATTTCACTCCCTGATTTTCACACTTGAGTGATATTCAGTTTTCATTATACTGAACATTTCCCCACCAGATGCAGTTCCCCACTTTTCTTAAAATCATTGTCTGCCCCAGTCATTTCAGCAAATGAGAGCAGCTGAGAACACATAAACACAAGTTATATATATATTTTATATGTACAATATTTCAAAGCCAGACTTTGAACTGTCTCAGAAGAGAACTTCCCACTATCGTAGCCACCTTGCCCAGGCACTCCTCCTGCAGCAGATGCGGCTTTGTACTCACTCCACCAGACGCAATGACTTCAGAGAAGTTACAAATAGCAACATGTTGCATAATCAAGTCGTGTAGGTACCAAACCCAGCCATTTGTTTGTGAAACACAGTTGAGTCTCTGTACACGTTATATGAACTTAAGAAGATACAATTTTCTATTTGTTGCCAGCTTTTCACCTTGCTAGTCAAAACTTACCCGTTTCTTCCACAGGTATATACACTTCTGTCTGTGCCAACAAAACAGCATTCAGACAATTGCTTGAGATACCTTCCCTGAAGAAGACTGGGAGACAAAGCAGTGTGAAGAAACCTAAGCACTGGTGCATACAATCTGACGCAACTAAAATCCACCTGCATGGGGCTTTGCATCATGCTATCTTCCACCTCCAGACATTTTCAAATAACCTCTGCTTCTGTGAGGCTCTGCTGCTAGAGAAGCCTGGCACAGCCTGCAGCATGGCACCCAACTGATGCAGTTGACAACATGAGCCTGAAAGTACACGGTAGCAACTTTCTTCAAACTCAGCCAAATGCTGAATCTGCTGTTCTTTCTCCAAAGCAGCAAAATACAAAATGAAACTCTACCAAAGGAAACAAAGCTCAACCGGCTATTACTTCCTTCTCTTAAACAACTGCTCCAAAGTCCTCCAGGAACATCTTTAGACATTGCAGGTCTGTCACATAGCTTTGAAGACAGCTTCGTAACTTTGCCTCAGCTTTGTAACATCAAGTCTCTCAGTCTACAACAGCTCCATCTCAGTGCCAGAAATCCAGGTTGTGCCCGCAGGAAGGTAGTAAAGCGAACAGTTTGTGAACTACTACCCCAGCTGAGGAATCAGTAGATCAAGGCAGTTAAGAACAGCCTTCTCCTTCTGGATCAGCCTAAAGCTGTATTTTAAACCTGATTGCTTTTACTTACAAGGAAGCAACCATATAGATTAATTCAGAATATAAAGAACACATTGCAATTTAAATATTAATGAAAACCTTCGCATGTTTGTTCACAATTAGAAGTTTCCACTTAGCAAACCAGGTGAGTGAAAAAACGTTATGTCACTGAATGCAGAAAAAACACGTAGCTCTTCAGAAGAGAAGCGCATAATTCCTGCTGAGCATAGCATTTGCTATAATTGTGGGAACAGCGAGCAGGATAAGCCTTGCTGGAGACATGTCTACATTTCAGAGAAAAAACATGGCTTTTTTAACTTTGTAATCTGTTCTTCAATAAAAAAAGTATTTATTGTTAATATCAACCCACTAGCATGTAGCTTCTGTTAAAGTTTGTTTATAAACAGCCACAATACATGCAGACTTAAACATTCAAGTTAAACATTTAAAATTCTGATAAAAGAGTAAGAAAAACTCCACACACCAACAGATAACATTTAAGAAGCTTAGAACAAACTACCTTTTATAAAATATTTTACTTCAGTAATAACAGTTTGGAAGAAAAGTTGTGTTACTTCAAAAAATTTCAAAAACTGATCGCTTTCAGAAGAGAGCAACATACAGCCGAAAACATTCAGGGTTCTTATTTGTGCAGTGTATTAAAAAGATGTAAGCTGCATGTTTATATTAATATGAGTGGAAAGAGTGGACATTAATGACATTACTGTGCATTCTTACCCAGCAACTAGAACATATTTTCCATCTGGTTGATCCTTTAACCTTTCCAGCAGGGACAAACGTACTTTGGCTTTGGTTTGGCCATAGATCTCAATTTCATCTGTAAGCAATCCTATCTCCTTGGCAAGTACATCAACAGCTTTTGGACGCTGTGCTCGGGAAATCTCAATATCACTGGAAAAGAAAACAAATAGGAGCCAGGAGATTTCTCTCAGCTTAGGTGGTCAACGACAGAGCACAAAACAACAGCAAATACTCCAACAATGGGGTTACTGTAATCAGTTTTTCAATCCTCTCTCACATTTTATTAACCAAACCTAAATATTAGCTAACACCTAATATAACATTGAAAATCATGTGCAGTGTTTGTTAATTGTTAGAATTTCACAGACTTCTCTCGTTTAATCAGATTCCAAATATTACATAATGCTTCCATATCAAGCTAGAGACGTGTCTGCTGGATGCTCAAGCATGTCCCACTGGAATGGATGTTTCTGGTTCTGTTTTTCTTCCCCTCCCTCCCAGTATATTTCAGCACATACACTTTACTAAGAAGCACATACATTCCTTGGCCAACAGTCACATAAACACGTTAGCTAAACCTGATGCTTGTGCATGTAGCGCCTTTCATCAGAGGGTACCGCCAAGCAAGCTAAGCCTTGCTACTCCCCCATGAGGGCACCAAAGGAAACAAGACATTTGAAGATCAACTCATGCACTTCTAAAACACAGCTAAATTGAAAATGGCCACATAGCAGGATTTTAATGCACAGGGTCAGGCCAGAAGTCCAGTCAGCTTATGAACTATTTCCAGCAAGGACTGTGAGTGGCAGCTGAGGCAAGAGAACAAGCATGGAGCAAGCACACCTAGTAGATTGCCTGAGGGGAGGTGGCTGTAGGCTGGGGGACACTATTGTATCTGCAATTCCTGACCTAGACCACCTGGAGTCTTTGGATTTAATACTCCTTCATGGATTTTTCGTTTGTGAGCTTGACCTAGTTGCTCCTTATGTCCACATAAGCGTTTAGCAGCTGCAAGCTCCCGTGGCAGTAAAGTCCAGGTCCCGGCACACAAGATGTGAGGAGTTGTCTCCTTTGGCTTTGAATTGCTCACATCATCACAAAAGCAAGTTAAAAAATTACCAAGAGATTAATTACTGTCAGCCTAAACAGGCTAAATTCCTTCCTGCAGTTTCAGTTGATTACAACATTTTTAAGATAGAACCTGGCAATGGGATCAAAGCTAATGTCCTGAACTTTCAAACAGTCTGCAAGACCTCAAATATCCACAGATGAACACAGAACTACTGCCAGATCTCAATTCTACTTGTGGACTTCGGCTGTTCTACATCCACCAGCAAATGATCAGTTTGTGCCAACTTAATTGCTTGTAATTCTTTGAGGATATCCTAAACTGGGACCATTATTCAACTCTAATTCTCGAGTATCCCACTTTTGCACCCTGCAGCTGCTAAGTGAAATCCAGAAATCATCCATCCAAACAATGACATAATCCAGTACTACAGGACAAGAAGCTACTCAGTCACAGCACTCAGTGGTTGGGTTGCAGACCATTTCATTGCATATACTAACCTGGAATCTGCTTTCTTTCAAAGACATACTAAGGGCATCCTCTTGCATAGAAGGATATACCTTTGGCTTTCTTATGCATTACTTGAAACACAACTAGCCATAAAAAAAATGTATCAAGAACACAAGATGGAGTGGCTTACAAACATCACATGACAAACAGTATTTAAAGTTTTCATTCAGAAGTCTCCCTATAAAAACAACTTGAGTCCCAGAAAAATATTGGGAAGTTGATGACAGTGTGGTCCCTTAAAGATTTAAGCAAGGAAAATTTGTAGGGTGACTATTCTCCTATTAAAGCAATTGATGCATTTGGCAAGGGGAGAAGGATGTAGACTAATATCACAGAAAGTTAATTTGCCTTTTTTTTTTTCCTCCTGCTAAATGTATCAGTCTCGTTAATAAAAGACAGAAGCTATTATTTCAAATCTCAGGCCAGACTATCAAGACTCCCTGCAGCAATCTCAGCCCTTCCTATTTCCCTCATCTCTTGGGCCACAAATGCCTCCCCCTCAGAGTTCTAGAAGAAACGATGAGGCTTTTCCCACCCTGCAGGTACCACTACTGGCAAAAAGGAAGAAGCAAAACTAACCAAGCTGTACACTTATAAATAAATTAAAACGTAAAGAATTTATAGATAAATAAAATCACAAATATTTTTAGAAGTCAAGTAAAATTGACAGTGGATGCTAACAGTTCTCCATTGGTAAAACCACTGCTGTCATTATTTTCCCATCTGAAATTCCCTCAAGAACCTTCAAGGCAACTAGACTTTTAACAACTTAGAAACCCTTTAATGACAGATTGCACACTGATACACGCAATAAAGTGATAAAAGGCATAATTTCACAATGAATTGATGTTTATACCTTAACTACTACTGGGGCTAAACAACACATATGAAATGTTTACATCTAGTCTACTATTTCTAGTAAAAGTATGTTCTAAAACACGGGAAATTAAAGATTTGATTATAAGTAGCATTTAGAAGTCTACATTTGTAGCTAGCTCTTTCAGTTTGACAATATATTCTCTATATTGGAAATACCAGAATTATTCAATAAGTTACGTTATTCAATATTGCTGGCAATGTGCAACAGCAGTTCTTCTGCATGAGTGAGAATTGTTAAGCAAGAAGTCCACCACTGACAATGGTAAGTCATAACTTACAAAATATAGGAAAATTTAGAAGATGGGGGAAGGCTTTACATCTACTCAGCCTGTGTGCTGGAATTTTTTTTACTGCATATTTGTAAGAAAATCTTCCGTTCCATTTCCAATATCTTTGGAAATATTTCAATTAACACCCAGATTTCACAGAAATCAAAAAGCAGATGCTCCTAGTTTTAGTGCTTAAGCAGCTTTGCCTCATTTTCAATGAAAACTCCCATCTGTTTCCTCCCAACATGGTGTATTACTGTAAGATTACATTTTATTGCAAGATACTTTCCATCTGATGAGTTATTTTACGTTTAAAAGAAAAAAAGACATAAAGCTATAGACTTATCAAATAAATGAAAGTCCTATTACTGTTTATATTATATGCCAGTATATATTAATTATGTAAATATTTATGTACTAAACACACAATGTCACAGAGAGGGTTGGGAATACTTTTTTTGAGAGTTTTTTTCACCATCACACTCATGACATCACATGCTTTAATCTACCTTCTAACTGTATTACTTAAGGATAGATTTTTCAGGCTTTAATTCTAGAAATGTGACATGCTGGACCAGGAAAAGCTCAAGCATTTCTTCCCCCTTGCGCCCCCGGGTACAATAGAAAACTCATTCTTTTGGCATCTCTGTTTTAAATTACAACTGCATCCATTTGCATTAAACTTGTAAGAGACAGTGAAAACTGAATCAAAATGCTTAGAAAACATTTTCCAAAACACAGCAGTGGGATTCAGAATTACAGAATCACAGAGTGGCTGAGGTTGGAAGTGACCTCTGGGGGTCATCTGGTCCAACCCCCCTGCTCACACAGGGCCACCTAGAGCCAATTAGTTGCCCAGGACCGTGTCCAGGTGGCTTTTGAATATCGCCAAGGAAGGAGACTCCACAACCTCCCTGGGCAATCGGTGCCAGCGCTTGGTCACCCTCACAGTAAAACAGTGTTTCCTGATGTTCAGAGGGAACCTCCTGTGTTTCAGTTTGTGCCCACTGCCCCTGGTCCTGTCAGTGGGCACCACTGAAAAGAGCCTGGCTTCGTCTTCTTTGTACCCTTTTATTTATATACATATAAATGTGTACATATATATACACACACACACATTGATAAGATCCCCCCGAGCCTTCTCTTCTCCAGTCTGAGCAGTCCCAGCTCTCCCCGCCTTTCCTCCTATGTGAGGTGCTCCAGTCCCTTTATCACCTGCACGGCCCAGAAGCATGCACACAAATAAGCACACAAAAATTTCAAGGCTTTCCTACATGGCAGAACCTCACTTCAAGTCGTTGGCTCCTCTCTCCACCAGCCAACACAACCAACACGCAGCAAAACACTTTAGCACACCAAAGGGCTCAGGCTGCTCTAAATGTCAGAGATGTCAGCAACCATGCCAAGGCAGACCTAAAATCCCTGCGGCTGGATATGAGCCTTGGGAGGTGAATGACAGAAACTGATTGAAAAGATTCTGGCTATGACAATAAATACGCTTCCCGCTTTTCACATCTACACAGGAATTTAAAAGTCTAACGCAGAAGAAAGTACTTCTACTGAGGGAAGAAAACAAATACAAGATCAAATGCCACTGAAATCACTGGGCCTTAACTAGGTCCCTAAACACCTTCCTACATTAGGGTTTAGCGATTAGGAGCTTCTTATATTTTGTATTTCTGTTGACATGCCACAAGGCTTCACCTCCCTCCCTCAATGAAACCTTCCAGCTTTAGGTCTTCATTAAACAAAGCTTGGCTCCAATGCACATCATAAAAGTAAAAATTGATAGGAAACAGAAGGACATGGCCACAATGAGGCATATAACAAAAAGGCACAACATGTAGTCCACATAAGCAGATTAAAAAATAATTAGGCACGGACCATTTTTAAGTTCATTGTCACATTTAACACCTGCCTACTCTTTTTTTTTTAATTTAAAAAACACCACTTATTACCTGGGCACTGGGGAGAGGGGCTGCAGTTTCAAGCAGCGGAGGTCCCACTTCCTGTACTGCTGGGACTGGATCCATCGCTCCGTGTTTTTTACCATGTTCTGTTTTTAAACAAGAAAACAGCACACACCAGCTGCATCATAAATGCTGAACGCTAATTTCAAATGATCTCATGAGTATGTTGAAATAGCTTTTATGGCAAAGGCTAACAAAAAACAAACTTAAGAATCTTTCCCTTTCATGGTTTTAGGATGAAAGAAAAAAACAACCACTGCACTATTATTGTCCTATTGTTTGTCCACATTTCAGAAAGAGACAAGACCATTAACACGTAAGTGGCAGAGAAAAGTCACTAATTAGGCACTTGGAGATTTTCTTCTGGTAAAATGGAGAATTACTTTTATTCTCTCACACCTTAAAAATAATGGAAGATATTAATTGTTCAGTGACTGACTCATGCTGCTTCCACATAAAACAACAAACTTTTGGACCCTTTCCATCACGCCACAAAAAATGTATGCAGATATAATTAATCTTCACTGTCTTACCAGTATAAGTAACATTAGTCTATTGATACAAGTGCTTCTGCCAAGCTTTATTGTAATCATCAGAATTATGACATGTTTGATTTTTAATTTACCTTTAACTAACAGGCATGACTCATCCTAACTGATTAAGAGTTGCTATTAAAATGGAAGGCAGGTAAGATGTTCAAAAGAGCAAAACAAAAATTAAAATCTAAACTGTAGAAGTAATTTCTACAACTTACAGAAAAAGCAACAAATTTACAATGTTTGAAGTTACACTAACCTGCATTCGCATTGCTATTGCAAGAGAACCAACAGCGTTTTCAGCAGCGTGGTTGTTTTGCTGACCATAGTTGTGTTTCTCTGTAAAATAGAAGTATTGCACTAATAAATCACAAAGCTTTTGTGAGTGGGAGCATGTGTATTTGAAAGCTATGTCCAAAAAAAAAATTTCTGAACGTTGACTTGAAATTTTGCAATGTCACTGACAAAATTATAGGTGGCTTCTTTAACACTTCAAATGAAATCACCCAGGAGGATGGATATAGTGTGAAAATCAGAGAGCAACTGTATGCTCTATGCTCTGAAGCATATTATGCAAACACACAAACGCATGTGATGGAGCATAAACATACTTGAAAAAGAAAATAAGGAACACAGAGATTAATTCCAGGATCCAAATAATTGCTTTTGAACAAAAAGAAAAAAAAAAAAGCCAGACAGCTGTGAGGATTTGAAAAGCTATATATTTTTTTAAACAGAACACCTTAATGAGCATGGTAAAGAATGTCTTCTTTTCCACACACTTATTACAGCGAGAGAGAACAATGAAATTATCACAAAATACTACATAGGATTATTAACCAATGGGATTTATATAACTTGGAATCAGAACATGCAAAATTTTTTGAGCAGCAGAAGTTATCTTCATCAATGTGACATTAAAAGTAGATATTCTGAAGAGTCTACACAATTCAGAGTGACTCCAACTTCAGAGAGTTATAATTGTTTCTAGTGGCAATATGTCTTATAATAATCATACATTAGCTACCCGAACTAAACATATTATTTTGTCATTTTCCTGTAATCCGTCTTTTGGCTTGTTCTTCTGTTGTTGCTTATTGATTTTTATCTAAGATGTAATTTCTCCAAAATTCACATCCTAGTCTCTGTGCGCATATCAAGGCCCTAGTTGCATTTTGAAGGGCGTAGACATAATCGTAATAAAAAATAACAACTGTATGCTGACAGCTTTAACCCTTCCCCCACAGGGGAACTGAAGTGCAAACCCTGACCTGGTCAAGCTCTCACTCTACTCAGCCCATCCATACCGATCCTAAAACACTCATGTTGCCTTGCACAATTACCCCTCCTGACGAGCGTCCCGGCGGTGGCAGGGCACGGACACCTCAGGCTGGAGCCAGAGTGGCAGGCAGAGGCATGCAGAGGAGCCAGCACAGCACCCCACCACACCACACCCTGCTCTAGCCCACTATCTCTCACACCCATCACCAAGAGAGCAAGAGACCCTTTCTGCAGACACCCTCAGCCTCATTCAGTGTGTTTTCTAATCCTTTCTCAAACTTTCTTGCCAGCAGGCATCTATACGTCAGTGACAAAGCTAACCAAGCAGAAGGTGACAGTCCTGACACTAAACCCTAATTAAGAAAGTGTCTGAAAAGTCCTTCTACTTGCATTAACACTTGCCATTTAAAAAAAAAAAAAAAAAAAAAAAATCTTCTGGAACAACCCATTTTTAACATCAAAAGGGGCATTTACGGAAA